TTTAATCAAATCTAAATTGATAACAATGTAATGTATGGTGTAGAAGTGATACGCCGCAATGCCGTGACCCAATGTCTAGTCTTCGGGTCAAATCTCTTAACCAGATGGCTGCCCTGGTTTTACACGCAGAAAAAAATATGATACGAATACGAAAATATTCATTGCATAAAAAACTGTATATCCGGAGTTTCAATATTATTCGACTATATGTTTTACCTGCATGTCAATTGCATGCAATTTGTAACTTTTTAATCGACCCTTTTCTGAAATTGGTACCTTAGATACGAAACTGAAAATCAACCAAGCAGTTGTTTGGGTCAACGCTTTACTATTTTCCACATTTGTACCCTTAAGAATTATCTTGGAACAAGCTAACAAGTGTCAAAAAGCTCACTGGCTTTTGTCGACTTTGAAAGAGACTTGGATCGCATTAATAAAGAGCAAATGCTGAAAATCTTAAGGTTACACGGACTATTGTATGAATAGAGACTCAGACCAGAACACGTAGGATATATATATATATATATATATATATATATATATATATATATATATATATATAATATATATATATATATATATATATATATATATATGTGTATATAGAAGAAATTGCCGTAGAACAGTAAAACAGGAATGTGATCTACACTGTTTCCAGTCTATTGATCTTAGAAAGGTAATAGATACTCAGAAAAGTATTGTGTAAAGTGCAGTACCAGTATGTGCTATCTCTCATTATATGCCCCAGATATTCAAGTTTTCTCTTTTTTATCATCTTCATCAAGTCACCTTCGACTTGACCGATCTTGTTTAAGACTTCTATGTTTAAGATGCGTTGAACCCATGATGTGTTGAGCATTCTATGATATGACCACCTCTCGAAGGCTTCTAATTTGTTCCTCATATTAACCTTCATGATCCAGGTTTCGTATTCATATAGAAATACTGGATACATATAACATTTTAAGAACTTAATTTTTAGTTGTAAGTGCAGCTGAGAATTGCATAGTATAGATCTCATCATCATCATCATTTTGGCTTTACAACCCTTTGTGGGTCCTAGCCTCCCCAAGAATTCTCTTCCAGTCGTCCCTATCCATCGCCTTCCTCCGCCAAGCACGTATTTCCATATTTCTCATATCTTGGTCTATGTTATCTAGGAATCTTGTTCTGGGTCTTCCTCTTCTTCTTTGACCAATAGGTCTATCAAGGAGCGTTTTTCTAGCTGGGTCGGTTTGCTCCATCCGCATTACATGGCCTACCCACCTCAGACGTCCTATCTTAATGTGTTTTACGATATCTGGTTCCTGGTATATTCTATAGAGTTCGAAGTTGTATCGTCTTCTCCAGACACCATTTTCATTTACCGCTCCATAGATTCGCCTCAGTATTTTTCTTTCGAAACATCCTAACATGTTTTTATTGCTTTTTGTTAAAGTCCAATAGTATAGAGCTAAGTGTCATAAATGCAATTTCTATACGAGTTTAATTCCTTCATCTGGATTGAGTGTCTCGTTTATACAACATCCTAGATTTTCTTAAAATGGTCAACTTTTGTAATCGGCTCATTGTTGACAATTAGTTGTTAACATAAGGTCAACATCTTGTTTCCTAACCACAAGTAATTTCGTCTATGATGTTTTTATACCAAGTCCCTGATTGGATCATTCTCAAGTGACTCGTATCTATATTGAAGATCTTTGTTACTTTCAGAGATGATCGATGTGTCATATGGATATCTGATGTTGTTAACAGTTTCTCCTCCTATTTGAACTCCGCATTTCTTCCAAGACTTACAAGTACACGTTAAACAAAGTACGGGATAACACACAACTTTGTCTGGCACCTCTTTAAATGAAAATTGTGTTTGATTCTTTGCCGTCTACCAGAATAGAAGCTTTTTGATTCCAATATAAATGTGGTAGAAGTCTCAGATCTCTATTATCTATACCAATTATTTCTAGATACTCAAACAGCCTATCATGTTGGACCCTATCAAACACCTTTTCAAAATCTATAAAGCAGACATAAATTGGGTTCTGTACTTCCCATGACCTCTAAAGTAATATTAGCATTGAGAACAAAGCTTCCCTTATTCCCAATCCTTCTCTAAAACCGAATTGTTTGTTTCACATTTTGACTGAATTCCATTAAGAATATTTTTTTTGGTGTGGGATAAATGTAGACTCCAACCATATTTGTGGCATTATTCCATTTTGGTATAGTTTTTTAGTTCTGAGACATTGTCGTCATTTATAAGTTTGAGCGAGTCTCATGGTATTGATTTGGTCAGGGCATAGGGATTTCCCATTTTAGTTTTGTTTGATGACTTTCTCTACGTCCGCTTTTAAAATACTAGAACTATTCTTTGCGGTCTTAAGTGTCCTCCTGTCCAGGAAGATCTTATTTATGTAATTAATCCATTCTTCCTTTTTTTCGTTTAAGTCGAGAATTATTTCATCTTTGGAGTTTCTCATGAAGTGAAGAGTTCTTTTTCTCTAAGTGTAGCTAATTTCTAAGTTTTTGTGTATATTAAACTCTCATCTTTTTTATTTGTAGTTCTTCCATTTCACGACATCTTTGTTCCGTCCATTCCTCTTGCTCACTTAACTTCGTATCTTATTTGTCGATATATTACTGTATATCAAGTCTTGTCTTTATTTTCCCACTTGCTTCTTTGTTGAATAAGGTCTAGTATTTTATCGGTCATCCAATCCTTTTTCTCCAATCCATCCAATCCTTTTTTCCAGCTCGTTAAAGTTTGTGTAAATGGCTGTAGATCTAGAGTGCGGATAGGTAACAAGCTCTCAGAGTCGTTTGAAATAAACAGTGGACTGAAACAAGGAGACGCGCTGTCACCTCTTCTTTTTAATATAATCCTGGAAAAAGTAGTAAGAACCGCACAAATTAGAACAGAACTACTGACAGTAAATGGACCAAAATTACTACTAGTATACTCGGATGACATTGACATTGTAGGAAATACCGTCACCAATGTAAAAGAAACCTTCAATAAATTAGAGAGAGAGGCAAAAAATACCGGTCTAAGGGTCAATAAAGAGAAAACCAAATATATGTGCATTAACAGACAAAGGAGACGAGATAGAATAGGACAAAATGTAACAATAGACCCCTATAACTTTGAAAGAGTGGAGAGTTTTAAATATCTCGGAGCGACTATCACCACAGGTAACAATATCACGGAAGAGATAAAAGGGAGAATTCAGGCAGCAAACAGATGTATGTATAGCCTCCACAAAATTATTAAATCCAAGAGCCTAACACGAACATAAAAAATCAGGATATATAAAACAGTAATTAGACCGGTGCTCATGTATTGGTGTGAGACGTGGACGCTGACAAAAGCAATGGAAAGTAAACTCAGATGCTTTGAGAGAAAAATCCTCAGAAAGATCTTCGGTCCCTATCACGATCCGAATATTAACCAATACCGAATGAGAACAAATGCCGAGGTCAAACAAATGTATAGTGCTAGCGACGTAGTTCAAGAGATTAAATCCCAACGTCTAAGACGGCCATGTTCATAGACTCCCTAATAACCGCCTTACCAAGTTAATCTGGGAAGAAGTCCCGACAGGGAGAAGGCCCTTAGGACGTCCACGAATGCGATGGAGAGATAATATATGGTCAGATTTGAGAACAATGGGGCTACCCACTGACTTAAACATCATGGACGACCGTTCGAAATGAAAGCAGGTTGTGCAGTCAGCCAAGACCCACCCCGGGTTGTAGTGCTACCAGAAGAAGAAGAAGAATCCTTTTTCTTGGGTCTTTTTCTGGTTTTAAAACTTCGTTTGCTATGGTGGTCATAAATTTGAAACCTGAACAACCCATTTGCAAACGACGTCTACCTGCTAATTGAACACAGGAATCGACATGAAACACAACTTGACAGGCTGACACTATGGTGTCACCTAGTTACACTCATTGATATATGAATAAACGCAAAGAAAACCAAAATCCGAAAGAGCATTAAAGGTTAAAATAACAAAAAGGTAAACGGAAAGGAAATAATCGAACGAAACAAATTTACAGAGTTTAGATCATTTGTGAAAAACGGAAGGATTTAGAGAATTTTGCGGAAACAACAAAACTTACATGTTTTATTATCTCGGCTAAAGCCATATTACTTTATTCAGCGTAAACGTGAAAACATGATGAAATTATTAGAGGAAAATTACAAACTCGTGAATATATTTCTACAAGTTTTGAAGCCATACTAGGCCAATATAATAACCATTACAGAAATGCGGGGAGAAAATAAAAATGATATAGAGAGTCTAGCATTCGAATATGAACTTAAAGGGAAAAGAAAGAGATGCAATAATTTCGAAAGAATAATACTATAAAAGCAGGAAAAAATCAGATTAAGATATTAAAACAGCAAGAAATAGAGATGAATAGAACGAATTTATAATGAGATTATCCAAGGAATGTAGGAGCTGGCCTACTGCAATGGTTTGTTTACTTCAGACATAGAAATGGAAACTAGGTGGGACGAAGGATAGAGCTGTTAGAAGTTAAGGGAAAAAAGAAGTGGAGGAAAACCGAGGAGAAGATAGAAAACTGTGTGGCAGAGGACAGAAAGGTTTAGGTGAAGAAAGACTGATGGACAGAAATGACTCAACAAGAAGGGATGGTGCTTGAAAGAGAAAGAGAGGATTGATCCTTTCTATTACGCTTATTTTTCTTATATTCTGGTTTCTTTTTATGTCCTATAAACTATGAAATTTCCCCATATTTACCCGTTTATTATTATTTTGTTGTTTCGTTCAGGTTCAGGTGAATTATTATTTTGAACGAATTTATCCTTACTAACCATTTATACATTCAGCCAATATTTACGCTCTGGATGAAAAATACAAAAAATACATTTTTCTAAAATCTAAAACATTTCCAACTCTTATTTTGGTTTTAAATTTTTTTAACCTAAGATTTGAGTAAAAATACAAATTACCTAATCGTACTTATATTTTTAGATTTCTAGATACTACGGCAGTATTAATGCACAGTTCAAGAACAGAAGATCTCAGCGAATTTTTAACGGCAGTATACAATGCAAAGATCGCGGAACCTGGCCGAAAATTTGTAGTTACGTTTAATAGGGGAGATAGTGTAAGTACAATAAGTTTTATTACGTCAGTTAGGAAATTTGATTTAAAATTGTAAGTGTACAGAAAACGTGAAAATTTTACATACTAGTGGGTTAACAATGTCAGCAAAGTTAAAATAAGATACAAGTTGCGAATAAAACATATAACTGGCTAATTAAACATCTAATATGTGATATCGATACAAGCAAAACTAAATGCTAAATATATCAAACCTCAACAAGAGTAGTTCTTGGCTATAGAAACTAGTGTTACCTTTGAACGAAAAATCCTCAGTAGTGAAAAAATATAATTTATGGCGTAGACGACATAATTTTGAATTATACACAAAATACAAAGAATCTGACATCATAGCATTTATAAAGATTGGACTTTTACGATGAAACTCAAATATTTACAAACAACTTTCTGAATATTCGAATCGTCGTTGATTGACTCCGAGCAAACATCATACTCACTTTGAAATATACATATGTTTACGTGAAATGGTGAATAAATGGCCTTGTGATATATTTTTTATTTCTGAATTTACGATCGACAGAAACGATTTTGTGGACTTTTATGGTTTCTGGAACAACTACTGTCCGAATAAAAAAAAATAATACAAACAGAATGAAAGTAAGGTAAAAATCGATATAGAATTTGAAGGATGTCGATGGCACCGTTATAATTTCAGATAATTATTTATAGAATGTACCAGGAACCAAATATTGTAAAACATATTAAGATAGGATGTCTGAGGTAGATAGGGCATGTAATGCTAATGGAACAAAATGATCTAGCTAGAAAAACACTCCTTGATAGAACCATTGACCAGAGAAGAAAAGACACAGAACAAGATTCCTTGATAACATCGATGAAGACATGAGAAATATGGGAAATTCTTGAGGAGGCTAGGACCCACAAAAGGTTGTAAATCCAGAATGGTGATGAGACCAATATTTGGGTTGATTTAAGGTACCTACTATTACCCTCAGGAATGCTACAAAATGACACATTTTCAACAATGTTTTTGTATCTTATCTGTTATATATAGCAATCAAACTTTTTTTATTTTTATACAACTTTTGAAGTTGACATTCCATTCCATTTTTTCCAATTTTTTGTTTATTTAAAAAAAAGCTCCAAAAGTTTTTAGTCCAAAAATTCCTACTCCCTGGCGGACAGTTAATATCTGAAACGATAAATCTGAAATATAAAATTCGAGAAGGGTTTTAAAAAAGAAGTGCCCTTACGTGATATTTTACCAAAAAAATGAAAAAATTTTAAAACAACAAAATGGCGAAAATTTGAAAAAATTGCTCAAAAATTTATCTATTTTCACTTTTTTCAGTCATAACAATGTTATTAGTTTTTTTTTTGTTAAATTATCGTAAACTATTATAGAGAATATCAAAACAAACAAAATGCATCAAGGTTTATCAAAATCGGCTAGATCCAGAAATTAATTATAGCCTGAAATATAAAGATTATAAATCTGAAATATAAAATTGAGAAAGGCTTTAAAAAAGAAATGCCCTTACGTGATATTTTACCAAAAAAATTAAAAAATCTTAAAAAAACAAAATGGCAGAAATTTGAAAAAATTGCTCAAAAATTTACCTTTTTTCAGTCATAACAATGGTATTATTTTTTTTGTGAAATTATGGTAAACTATCATAGAGACAACTAAAACAAAGAAAATGCATAACAATGTTATTATTTTTTTTTTTTTTTGTCAAATTATGGTATGATAGAGAAACCAAAACAAAAAAATACATCAAGGTTTATCAAAATCGATTAGATCCGGAGATTAACTATATCCTTGTGGTAAACTATCATAAAGAAAACCAAAACAAATAAAATGCATTACGGTTTATTAAAATCGAATAGATCCGATATTAACCAGTTTTAAAAACATAGTTTTTCTCAAAATCTTTAATCAGGATCTAGTCGGTCTATTTTAATAATGCACGCATTTTGTTTGTTTTGGTTTTCTCTGTTAGTTTACCACAGTTTGACCAAAAAACAATAATAAAATTTTTGTGACTGCATAAAGTCGAAAAAAGGTCAATTTTTGAACATTTTTTTAATGTCTGCCATTTTGATTTTTTTTTTTGTTTTAAGAATTTTCAATTTTTCTGGTAAAATATCACGTGAATGCACTTCTTTTTTAAAACCTCGAGTTTTAGGTTTCAGATTTGTTGTTTCAGAGAATAACCGTCCGCCATTAAGTAGTCATTTTTGGACGAAACATTTTTGGCGCCATTTTTAAAATAGACGCACACAAAAAAAAAGAAGAGATATTTTTTGTAATCTTCAAAAGTTGTATAATAATATAAAAGAAATTTAATTGTCATATACAGGGTGTTTGTATTTGTAGAGGACTGAAATATGTGTTAAAAATAAATGTTTAAAATTGTTCTACGAATTAAATGTATTCCAAAATTTTGTAAAAATATAATACATTTTTCAGGCCACCCCTTAAATTCAGGCCACACGAGGTACAAGAATGTGTATGACATGTTGCGTTTGGTCATATTTATGTTTCTAATATTTGTCAATATTTGAATTTCCAAAATTTTAATTTTGTGATTTATTGTTTAAAAAACAATACCTATAGTTGATTAAAAAATGTATTCAGTGGAGGAGAAACTATCAATAATGAAAATGTTTTATTCAGGCAATAGTGCGCGAAGTGTCAGTTCTTTAGTTAGCGTAAGATATTCCAATAGACAATTCAAAGTCATTCAACAATTCAAAGGATTTTACAAAATTTTAAAATAATGGGACCGTGATTTCTAATTGTACCTGTACAAACAATATTGTTGAGGTACCAAAAAATTTAGAAAAACAAAACGAAATAAATGTATTAACAACAGTTGTAGAAAATCCTAGAATAAGTTCTCGGACCATTGCAGACCAGTTTAATATTCATAATTCTACGGCCTTAAAAATTTTGAAAAGGAATAAATTCCGTTCATATGAACTGAATACATTTCATCAATTTTATTGCTTTGTAAACAACTAATATAAAAATATATATACACATTAGTAGTAGTAGTATTTGTAAACATTTGCGTATTTTAGTATTTGTGTATAATTTAATCACAAAATAAAAATATTGACAATTCAAATATTGTCAAATATCAGAATCATCAATATGACCAAACGCAACATATCATACACATTCTTGTACCTCGTGTGGCCTGGAAAATGTATTATATTTTTACAAAATTTTGGAATACATTTAATTCGTAGAACAATTTAACATTTGTTTTAATACATATTTCAGTCCTCTACAAATAGTTTCTTATGACTTTTGATGTAAAATAATTAGGGAAGCAGGCATTCAGCAATTCAGAATTTCCCATTGAATTTCCTATGGCCCGTTTGGCGATTCACCAACCGGTATAATAAATAAGATACAAAAAAATATTGTTAAAAATGTTTTAAAAATTAAAAAAAAAATTTCTATTTACGGACCGTTGCTACTATGGAGTCTATCGATGCTTTTACTAACTCAAGATAGATTTGCCGCGTGTAAATAACCACGACGAAGTTTTTTATCTATTTCTTTAAAAAATCATGAGTATTTGTTTTTAATAATACAAATAATCATTTTTAGACTTTCACCGTTGATGTTCCAAGGCCGTTTCAGTTGCCCAGTATACCCGAAAATGTAAGTATGGGTACAAATTATGTTTTGCTAAACTATCAAACTATCTTTAAATACTTTTCACTTTGAATGTATTTTCACAAAGTAATAAATTTAAATAATTATATATGTAATTAACTTTTTGGTCACTTAGCAAAGTAAAGAGAAAAAATGGTTATGTAAAAATAACAACGTTGCTGTCTAGATAATAGAATATATCTTATCATTCTAGATTCTTACAATCTACATTTACACATAACACTTTAACTCCTGGGCATATTTATCCGCATGATCAGCCTGGCCACTTTTTTCATGCTCTTTAATCAAATGAATGCATTCTATCTCCTGCTTCTTCTTCTTAAGGTGCCGTGCATTTCTGCGTAGGCGTTCCACCGTACATCGTCTTGTCAGGTGAGATGTTCTTCTCTTCTTCTTACTTTTTACATAATTAAAAAGTTCCCTATCCTGTAAGCCCGCTCTTCTGAGTACTTCCTCATTTCTGACCCTGTCCGTCCATGATATTCTGAGCATTCGACGCAGGCACCACATTTCAAACACTTCAAGTTTGTTAATGGAACTGGCCTTTAACGTCCATGCTTCCATTCCGTACAGGAGAACAGGAACTATCTCCTGCTGTCACCCACAATGTAGCTTGTAAATAATTTTAAACTATTTGTCATTAGCCTAGAGTTAGTTTTGTGTAAATGTATTATTTAATGTATATAATATTCATACTCAGACTCATATTCAGATGTGTTGGATAGCCTGCATTTTTGAAATGTCCCTAAAGGTGCTCTGTGAGCGAAAATACTTGGGCGAGATAAAAAAAACTCGATATATACCTTTTATTTGGTTAAAGTTTTATATGTCTATGTTAATTCATTTAATGACATTTTTTCTATTTAAAAAGGGCTTTATAGGGTATGTTTATTTTTAATACAGGCAGTTAACCTAGACGACTTTTCATAATGCTATTACTACTCACTACCCATAGCCTATATGTATTGGAATTGATACACATTTATGAAGATTTATGCTGATCTAGTGTTACACTGTTTGGAGTTCTTAGATGCATGTGCGCGACCAAAAGATTTTGCCAGTGTGCTGTCCGTCAATTTTAAAAACGTAGTTTTTCTCAAAATCAATCTAGTATGTAGATTGTTTAGTGATAGTGATGCATGCATTTTGTTTGTTTTGGTGTTTTCTATGATAGTTAGACAATTTGACCAAAAAAAAATAACATTTTTATGACTGAAAAAAATCGAAAAAAAGGTCAATTTTTAAACATTTTTTTCTCTATTTCTGCCATTTTTTCTATCATTTTTTGTTCGACATATCGATTTGTTTCCTGTACTAAAATATCGCGTATCTCGCGTATTAGGAGCATTCTATAGTATAAAATGTCAAACGTGTATCTTTTCCCTACTTTCTATAACTGCACCAAGAGAAGTATTTTCATGTATAACATCAAATATATTCAAATTTTCCTGAATATTATTCCATCTAACATTTGCCTGTAAATTCTCTCTATGAGGATATACCATATCTGTATTATTTAGCTCTTAGATTTCTCTTCGATTTTTTTGTGGTTCACAATCTGAAGAGTATTCACTGTTATAGGAACTCTCAGTGTACCATGGATCGGCATCTGAATTATCAAATTCATAATTACTTATAGCGAAATATGCAAGATTTTCAGCATTATGCTCAAGTTCTTGTAAAGAAAGAGATCTCGTGTTATTTCTAGACATTGTACATAAACAAACCCGACTACAATGAAGGTCTACAGTAACTGATATGCAACTTAACGATTTCGTGTATCTACCGAACTAACATTGAAAATAGGTTGCCGCAGTCTTAAAGTAATGAGAATACACGTATAAATACACTACAACTGCGTTCGGGCCACATACACAATCGCTAGAGTACATTTGACTCTTGTGTATCATATTCATACACATAGGAGTCAAAGTGTAAATTAGATAAAATCTGTCTGTGATTTAGAATAAAAGTAGCGTATTACAAAGTAACAGACCACCTCTATTTATTTCATATTTATTAGTTCTATGATTTGAACCATTCCCATACTGTCGTAGTAATTATTTACCAAATGAATGTAAACCTATATACTTGCCCACATACTAATTTCAGAGATCATTTGCTATTCGTAACGCTCTCTGTTTCATTACTAATCACACTTCCCGTTTAATTAACATCGAATTGCACAGCATGAGAGATTGTAACACAAACGGAAGTTAACAGACGCTGCGCTGTCTTGAAAATTAGAGTACATCGATGCTGTTTAATCAAATGCGTTAACGCGATTGCCAACATTGTTATCTTTTTATGTCTGCAGAAAAGCCCGTAATACGAATATAAATACGAATTATACTTATTGTGACTTTCCTAATAAGTAATATAATATAATAGTAATGATTTAATGTAAAAAAAGTTTTCTGTTGTCAAAATTCAAAAGTTTAATTTTAATTTTATATTACGTTACGACGTTTGAAAATTTTCTGATTGGAGTATGGCTAGAAAAGTACCTGCTATACATCTCACACTGAGGTGAGCTCATCCAGTCGCTGAGCTATCGAAAAGATTTAACCTTAGAAAAACTAAAAAAAAAAATTTATTTCAAATCCTTTATAAAAGGTATATAATAAAATGCCCAAACGGGCTATCACAAATATATTACAAAACGTTTTCGGATTGTTAAATCCATCATCAGTGCAAACGAGGTATACATGCTATGAGCTACCAAAATATATGGGTCAAAAACCCTTTAAATGATATAAATTTTACAGTTTGCTTTACATTATATGTGGTTACAAATTATGATTTGAATTATGAAATTTTGTAACCACATATATTGTAACCACACATAATTTTGTAACCACATATAATGTAAAGCAACTGTAAATTTATATCATTTAAAGGGGTTTTACCTCGGTTTTACCTAAATTAATATGTAAATATGTACTGTAATGTATTTACATATTAATTTGAAAGTTTTTCCATTGACTGTGGATTCAACTGAACTACTTGGATTACAACCCATTTATATATTTTGCTTTTAATTTTGATGTTAATTTTTAGCAATTCAACTGAATATTCAGATTTTCTTTTTCTTTTTACAGCACTGATAGCGCTTAGTGGACCATTTTATTGTAGTCAACTATCCACTGTCTAATATATTGTTTAGTCTATTTCTTACATTCATACTTTATGTCAACTTCAATTTCTCTCAAACTAACATCCTAATTATTATAGACAGGTTTGAATGTGAGATCTGGATTATTCAATCTACATAAAAATATTACATATAATTTTATATTTCTTCAGTTGATTTCCTATAGTGGTGTCAGTTGGACCTTTGGTCAATACTTAGTTTCATAGAATCTTGAAAGGCGCAGATCACTTATCTATTGTAACTGCCCTTCACAAGCTGTCATTTGTCACATGTTACCTCAATATTTCCGCCTCCGCCAGGCTGGGAGCCATTCTGTCTCCGGCTTCTATAATATAAAATGTAGCTTCTCCAATTTTAAATTTTAAAGTGTTTGTTTGTCTTAGTTTAGTGTATTTGTTATGTCCCAATTTACATTTATGACATTCGGTTACTGCTGGATAGGCCACAACTGACGAAGTAAGTCTATAAACGTTAATCACATAAAAAAACTTTTTTCAACTATAAACTTGGAGTTTTTATCCAAGTGAATTAATTTTCCTTTTTTAAAAAACGTTTCTTGGCTTATTTCAGATGCCCCTGAAGATGATCTTGTGATCGAAAGTACTTGGGCAAGATTTAATTAAATACTGTGTTCCATATTTGCCTTGTGTACCATCAAAGTTTAAAAAATAACTTTAACACAAAAGCAATTTTCCAAATCTCTTCGAGTACAATTTTTTTAGGCGTATCTCATCGAAATAAATACTTTTTCTGTCTTGGAAATTTTTCGAAAAATGCTTCTTTTTGAGTTATTTTCAATTTCTTGTTGAAAATGCTTTAATTAATGATTTTGGAGATTTTTGTTCTAAAAAACTACTCAATGAATTGCTATTCTATAAAAAGCCTTATAATCTTTAAACCTTTAAGTACATGTAAGAATATTTTGGCCCATATATTAAATATTTGGTCCAAACCATATATGTATTTCGAATATTTCAAATGTGCATTTTGAGCAATGGCGATACAGGCGCGCGCCCTTAGAAATCTTTATTTATATTTAAAAATATGTTTTTAGTAAGATATAAACCACTTATCCTTATGGATATTGAAACGTCAATAAACCTACTTTGAATTGTGGTTTATTTCCATTTAAATAGTAATTATTCTTACTTATACTTGAAGGTTTAAAGATTATAAAGCTTTTCGTAAAATCGTAATTCATTTAGTAGTTTCTTAGAAAAAAAATCCAAAAATTTTTTCAACAAAAACATTGCAAATAACTCGAAAATGAAACATTTTTTGAAAAATTACCAAGAGAGAAAAAGAATTTACTTCGATGAGATATGTCTAAAAAATATTACTGGAAGCGATTCAATTTTTTGTGTTATAAGTTATTTGTTAATAACAATTTCGGCTCACTTAGAAAAGTAAAAAAAAAATACATTTGAACTTGAAAAAATATATAGAATCGAAAAAAAAAGTTTTGGTGTGGTAGAAATAATAAAAAAAAGTCGGTATATTCCGTTTCTAAGCGTTATTAAACCTCTTGCCTATAAAGAAGCATGACGTGGCGTCCTTTACACTCACTTAAAATTCCAATGTCTCAATGTAAAAAATCCAACACGGTTTTTTTTTTAAGAAAATGGACATTCATAAAACTGAACAGTAAAAATGAACTTCCTCTCCATGAAATAATATTTTATATACGCATTTTCACATAACTGCTTGATGTACCTATAGATACTTAATTATTAGATGAAAAATAGTATCGGAGAATCAGGATAGATTCCGATGAAATAAATTTGCAAACAAACAAAAAGTCAAGTAAAAAGGAAGAGCAAGAATGCTGCACAAAGAGAATTTATAATTTGTGATTTATTCCTACGCAGAAAAGATATTGGAAAACATTTATTTGCTACAGAGAAACAGCTCTAGAACAGTTTTGGAAGACATGCAACAATAACTAGACATAAAAAATTAACGTATTGTGAAATTGTTCACTAAATTACCATTAAAAATTATTCGATAAAACCTTAGCTTATAAATATTTCATGTATGCATCTTCCTTCGAGTACGAAAAATTCAAACAGTCATTAATGAAGTAGCTTGCAGATTTGGTCAACATGATTTCGAAAAATATATACACTTACTCCCAAAGTACCATTTGTAAACTCTCTGAATTAGAAGAGCTTCTACAATTATCATTGGTAATTTATTTGAAAATTTGAACACAAGGTATATCAGCCGTCTTTCCTTAAGTTTCATATCTACATTACTTTTAGTAGATCAATAATTTATTCGTCTGCACAGTAACTAGAAAACACTCATGACTATTTATATCTTAACCGAATTAAAGCAGGACAGATACGAAAATCCTTCATCTCTTGTTTGTACAGAGTCGTACATGTTAACTTTGAATTTTAACGAAGTCGAGAACTGTCGCTTTTGATCTCAAATCGTTTTATTTTCAGAGAAACCTCACAGAATATTTTAATGCAGTCGATACGCATACAATGTCTGTTATCTTTGCATCGATGCTTTTTGAAAGAAGGATAATATTTACTTCGAAGAAACTGAAACGACTTAGCGCTTGTGTACAATCAGCCAACGATCTTATATACCCCATGATATGGCAACATATATTTATACCGGTGTTGCCGATGGCGCTGATGGATTATCTATTGGCTCCCATGCCTTTTCTTATTGGAGTGCCTGAAGAAGTATTTAAGGTAAGTAAACTTGTGTTGACAATCTTTAGAACAATATTTTGTAATTAATTATAGATTTTCTTACAGAAGTTCTTTATTTCACTTAATTGGTTAATTGATGTTGTCACTCCATTATTTCCTATTCTTCGGCCGGTTGGAGATTTGTCTTACGCTACGTTGGAAATTTTGATGTCGAAATGAAAATTGCATTATTGAACAAGGAAATTGCATTTTCCAAATTACGTTTCGAAATGATGAAATATAATAAAGTTGTAATTTGGAAATAATTGACGAAAATTAGTTCGAAACGATTTTAGAAACGATTTTAGAACGAAAAGTTCAATATTACTGCTAGAGAGTTTTTGAGGTCGCAGATTACGAATATCATGAGGCGATGGTCTCTGAGGCACGTCGTGCCCATGACGAGCCGATTTTCTTGTAGTTTTGTGTAAATTCGACATAAAGGCAATGTAAACTCGTTACACTGAGGTCTATGGGATCGCTGAACATGAATATCGTGCGGCGAATGGTCTCTAAAGCATATGGGACCTAGGACGAACCTCGCCTCCTGAAGTTTTGTTGAAATTGTATAAAAAAGTATTCGATAAAAAAATAAGTTCGACCTGGGCAGCCTCGAAGACCATCCCCGATATAAGCGACCCAAAAACTTCCGTGTAATGAGTTTGTACTGATTTTGTATCAAATTTTCAGAAAACTCTGGGAGGCAAGGTCCTTCTGGGCACCGAATATTATCGCCGACATGACATGCGTGATCACTGACCCCAAAAACCCCGATTTTGTATCGAATTTTTATAAAACTCCAGACGAGGCCCATCCTGGTCACCAAGAGCCTATTAAGTTATCTCCGACATAATATTCGTATTCAGCTACCCCAAAAACACGCGAGTAATAATATTAAGCTCTCCAAAATTTTACTGTTGCTAACGAAGGTGCAACCTCGCCATAAACTTCGTCCAGGTCGGCTTTGATTTGCACATTCGTTTTACCCTTTTTGTGGAGGAAGTTAATCACCGAACGATACTCGATTATTTCCATTTCTCCGAAAATACAAAATTGGCTTGCTTTTTGACGGCTGTAAAAACCAAACTAATTGTTTTTAAAACTTAAAATTTTGACAGACGTCATGAATCGCAAATGTCAACACCGAAACCAATTCGGTATCATGTAGCGCCATCTATCAAAGGCTAGTTTAATATCAATCTATCCTCGTACAAAAGAAAATACAAATGCTGCAATGTTCGTACGAATCGAATGCAACAAATTTCATTGAGATTCGTCCAACTTCAAATTGGTAGTTTTGGGCCTTTTACTGCTTTATTGCCTCGCTTTCTACCCCTCTGTGTCCATTTTATTGATGTGCTGATTGATTATGTTCATCAGCGTAAGATTCAATTATATTATATTTATTACTTCGCGTGTTTTGATATTTTCACATCTTCAACTATTCGTTAATGATTTTCCAGTCATTCTACGTAGTATTATTTCTGTTGTCTCCTGTATTCGATGTTTCGGATCGTACTTCAGTTGTTTTGGTTGAATTGCTTTTTTATATATCGTTAAAATTGATAGATCTTTTATGTGTTTCACTAAATTGTAGTTTGGAGCTGGAGATTTCAGTACCTGAGCTAGAGAACGTCAGTTCTGCTCCTATTAACGATGATCCTCTACAAACATTTTCCCCTAGGCTTCTATTGGATCTCTTTTTTTCTTTTACAGTAGACCCACATTTACGAAGAAACTCTGTGGTAGTTTCTAACACATACATATGACCTGCTTTATGTGCAAACTAAGCGTCACGTCACTAGCCATAATATTTTAAATGCTGGCTGTTATTCGTCGAAATATGTTTAAAAGTACGAGGAAAACAAAAGAAACTACAATATTTCGAACATAGAATCAACAGCCACATCGAAAGATATAGTGGACATGATGATTGCCAACCTCCTTAAACGAAATGATAATTTTTAAGAAAAAGAAAAATTGATGATGGTTAGATCAGCCATGAAATATACTTTTAGAAACTACTAAACAGACACCCTCGATAAGAAGATCAAAAATCAAGGAACCAGCAGAGAATAGAAAAAATAGTGGACGTGACGGACTTCTTCCAGTGGTACTACAGTGGAAAATATGCCTTGGGTTTCTATAACCACACTGGTAATCTCGCGTCCCTCGTCTCCAAATTCTGATGTCCATCAAAACTTACTTGACTCATTATCTTTTCATGGTGTCTTTTTTGGTGTTCTGCGCTGCGTTGTATTTTGAAGGGGGTCTTCTTGGCAAAATGTGGTTATTCCGGTGTTGCTGGTAAAGTTCATTATTATGTCTGAATCTCTATATCCTATCTTCATTGTTTGGTATAAAGCTTTTCCTAAGTTTTTGTTCAAAAACTTTTTTGTACTCTCTGTAATCACCATGTCTCGCATCCATAACATGCTATTGATCCAATTATGGTATTCTGGATCTTAATCATCGATTTGCAGTGTACTTGAGTTACTTAAGATCCGTCGACAGTCGTAGTTCAGTGGCGTGATACTGGCATTCTAAGCCGGAGCACATATGTTCGATTTTCGGCACCAACAACGACATTTTCATTTTTAAAAGTGATCGAGTTGTTTACCGTGTTTCGGAGAGCACGTAAAGCCGTTGGTCCCTAGTCCGCATCAACACAGCCACCTGAGACAGGTTTAACGTTGATAAAGAGTTTTCCAATTTTTTTGATACTTCTCATTTAAATATTTTTAATCTGAATGTTGGTATAGTTGTTTTTGTAATTTGTTAACTACCTGTTTTAGTTCAAGTTATATTTTGCAGAATTTACAGTTTTATAACTCTACGCTTTAAACTTATCACGAACCAATATTAGTTTGGGATTATCTTTTCAAGCAATTAAAATTTTTTATTTTTTTTTATTTTCTAGCAAGTTAGAAGAAGTGAGATAGGTGATGTTGTAGTTCTAGATACTGATGCCAATACAATAGAAGATCCGTTTGATGATCTAAACGTTCTCCCAATAGAAGTAGTAAGTTAACTGTATAGTTTTAATAGTATTATTTCACCACTAAATAAAAGCACTAAATTGACGTTACAACAGGGTACAAGATTAAAGTTGCACTCATTTTCTTACTTTGTTACTACTAGATAGCGAACCTAAAACTTTGACGAATCAAAATCTTTTGTGAAAATTATGTTGGTATCTGATAAATTGTGGAACTTCATATTTTCCTATTAAAAGGCTAGTACTACCAAGTTCCAGCACTTTGGAGTTAACATTGAGCTGTACATTAAAAACTTTTGGTAAAAACCCAATTTAGATGTATAAATTAACAAAAAATCTATAGATAAAGTCACGTTCAGATGGCAGTGTACGGATATAGGATAACAGCGTTGCCAATTCTACTGCCATTGTAAGTTTTGCTACTTTTTTAAAATAAGCAGGGCCAAACTCACGGTAAACTAAGATATGTTTAGGTAAGCTAAAGTTGTTAATAGAAAATTCGTGAATGAAATAAATGGTAATAATTCCAAAAATGCTTTTATACATAATACCGCAGTTAATAGGGAAAAAAATATGAAAAATATTCTACAGGTTTTTTAATGTTCTAAACGGTAGATAAGGGATAACTGATGATAATTCCTTGAAGAATTACAGCCAATTTTGCTTTGTTTATTTTTTAAAGAAAGATGAAGTTTGGAAGATCATTTTTTGCCTATTTTGTTCCTCGTGCATTTTAGGGAAAAATGTTTCAAATAAATGTTGCAGATCTTAAAAAGTTTTTTAATTTTTTAGTTTGTAAATTAAAATACATAAACAAATGACTGAGATAATTGCAAAAAACCCCTAATTGAGGCCCCTAGAACACAAGGGTGTAAGTGCAGTTGCTTATCACTTAGCAACTGATATCTAACAACAGGCACGTACTTTTGGCTTCAAACTTTCTACATTAACAACAATAACACCATCAAAAATTACATGTCATTGAAAACATGCTGAAAACTGAAAAAGTGCTACCTAGGTTTTTAAATTTATATCGAACTTTGAACAAAGATTTTTCAAAACTTTGTTTTTGGCACTTACACCCCTTGTGTTCTAGGGTCCTCAATTGTGCACTAATTTATTAAATGTTCATAACTTTATTTTTTGCATAATGACGTCTAATATAACTACTTGAAATTATGTCGATTAATGAGTTATTTAAGTGTGCTACATTTCAACCAGATCAACTAAATATTTTATTACCTTTACTGAGAAAAGAATACCCCCGAAAAACAATTTTCAATCATCTTCATTTTCATAATCTAGTTCATCTTCAGAGTCATCGTTTAATGAAATTCTAATAGGTTCAATGTCATCTTGAATGTTGTCTACTGTCCAAAAATTATTCTCCAATTTTATAACATGGTTGACGTAATTTTTCCAATGTTCATTGTTCTGTACTTTATCATAACCTTCATAAATCAATGTTTTAACGTCGTTTTGTTTGAAACTTGAATTCTTAGAGGACACGTACCGTTTCACTTCACTCCACACCATTTCTATTGGGTTCAGTTCACAGTGATAAGGCGGAAGTCTTAAAATATGTACATCTACGCGGCATTGTTCGTCACTGTGATTCCTGTATTTTTCACCAATACAATCAATTTTGTATTTGTCATAAATATTTTTAAATACATTAGCAGTTTCCAGAAGTTCATTTTTTCAGTAATCTTCTTCAAAATAAATGTCCTTTTCATAGAGCCACTCCTTAATTTGACGTTTCACCCAATATTGTTTGGGAAAATTTAATTTCCTAGAGTGATAAGATGCATTGTCCAAGATAATGACATTCTTTTTATTTTTTGGGAGATTCGGTATTAACATCTCTTTCAAACCATTTTTCAAATAGATCTCCGTCCATCTCTTCATGGTAATCTTCAGCACCTTATTTGGCAAGAAAAGTGATGTCAGCACCTTCAACAAATCCGTCTTTGTTTCCTGCATGGACTAAAACAAATCTTGGTCCTTTTCCGGTCGGAGTTTTTAAACCTGTGGTAAGTCCATTTACGAAAGCCTGTCGGCTATTTTTTATTGTTGTATCTTGCCATACTTGCCCATTGGTTATTCCAGTATTAACCCATGATTCGTCCATATAAATGATATTGACTCCTTCGTTCCTCAGTTTCTTTATTTCCCGGAGATAGTGACGCCTCCAAGCGACTATTTCTTGTTTTTCTATTAATATTGAATTTCTATCTTGTTTGCCATATATAAAACCCATGTCGTGCAATAGTCTTCTCAACGTACTCTTGGAAAAATTCGGAAGATGCTCCATTTGCTTAATTTTTTCTAGTACTACGTCAAGGGTTGGAGGAATATTGTCCATAAAAAAACCGTGCACTACTTGTCTTATTCTAGACCGAGTTGCTTCATCATATCTATTCTCACGACTATTCAAATAACCGGTTCTTTTTTTTCTTATAGGAGTTACGAGTGGACCATTTTTACTTTCACTTCTATATCGGAATATCGTTCGCTCAGAGACTCCAGTCATAGCAGAAACTTCCCGCACCATTGTTGATACACTTTTATCGTTATTACTGTTTGATAAATAGTTAAAAACCTTTAACACTATTTTTTTTGCATTCACTATTTAACAAATTACCGTTTTTGAATTTTATTACACTCGCGGCCATTTTGACACTGACACGACACAAACGTCTGATATCAACTGAAAATTCTTTTAATGACTCTCAAGTATTTACCTGAATTTATAATTGCTGGCATTAGACAATAATTTTGAATTTATAAATAGGTATATTTTTTTAATTCTAAATTATTTTTTAATGTCTGTAACTGTAAATGCAGGTAGATAAAGTGTGTCATTAAAAGGACATTAAGATCAAAAACGGATTATACAAATAATTATTTCATTTCCACGAATTGTAAACAATTTGGAACAGAAGATATAATTCCGAAAAGACCAGATTTCCGAAATATAACTTTCTATTTTTAAAATACCAACAGAAAAATTATATAATTAAAAAAATGTAGTATTTTTCCGTTTCACATTCATAAATATTTCCGAAATTATAATTCTTTTATAGGAGCCGGCCCATAACGTACGATTGTAGGTACGATTAAAAACTGACAACAATGTAGTTATTTCTGGCATATAGAAAGTACAGGCCTATCTCTGTAACGCTGCCATCTGAATGTGAATTTATCTATAGTAGTGTTGGTGTTATTTTATTTACAAGCTTGACTGTTTCCTTTTTTAATTTCTGCTATCTTTATAGAGTAAATATGAAAATGAGTAAATATGTTCATTACCATAAAGTCAGCTTTATTATTTTTATAAGGAGCATGTTATATCGAAAATCCCATGGCCTGCACTATTTGTGTTTTATGCGGACTTATTGATAAAATATTAGCAACGCAGACGTTCCTAAACGAGCTAACAGCTAAAATTAAGTATGAAGTATAATTAAAAACAAATCATACCTCATTTAGGTATTATAAAAAGTAAGAAGCAAACATCTTAAAACAGCTCCACTATCACAAGAACGTCTTGATCTAAAATAAATTTGCTAACGACCCGGTATTCAGTTAAGGTCCAGTAAAACCCAGTTTAGGGTAACACCTTTGTGGTTTTGGAGACTGGAGATGCGTTTTTACGGCTCCTACATTCAACGCAGGACAAGGGCGGATCCTAGGACCGATTTTCGGAGGCCATGAACTTTTTTGGGGGTTACCGGGGGCTCTGGGGATATTTTTAAATGGTTAAACCCAAGCACTGTTAACTGTACATGGAGACACTTTCAATCTTGTTAACCAGATCATCAATAAGAGCTATACGTGTCTAAAAGGACGTTATCTAGTCCACAAACGGATTAAGTAAGTAAGGAGAAACTTTAAATACCTTTCTCTTTTTAGTAAGAGTGTTAATTTGTAACATAAGAAAAAATGAATACTTTAGCAATGTTATACGAAGCAATAGAGCAAAGATTTTGAAGGAAAATAGAACACAAGAGAGCACTGGGAAGATTAAAACATTCGCAATTGAAAACATAAGAAATTTGGCTGGTTTAGACTCACATACACATTCGAACTGCCCCAAATAGGCACTACTTCACTGAGATTGTTGTCAACCTTCCACGAAGATGATACCATCTAGTTCACATAGGTTCTAACCTCGGACAATTATTGACAACGGCGTCACAAAAAAAGGTATGCTAAATGCACATGAAAACCTTGTGTAAAACTAAAGCAATAATTATAATATATACATATATACGAGCACGAGGGCGCGGGCGGTCCAACTAGTGCTTAACCTACACAAGAAAAACGAAAATTTTAGAAAAGTGGTCACTTATTTTTCAATATAGTGTCCTTTTAACTCGATACTTTTGACCTAGCGATGCTCCCACTTCTTTAATTCGTCTGAAAAATACGTTTTCCTGAAGTCTGCAAAATATCATCCGTGGCGGCGATGAGATTTCTGCCCAACCAGTGACTTTTTAGGTTTTGAAACAAACAGAAGTCGCACGGGACCAAATCTGGAGAATAAGGTGGATGATGAAGTGTCTGAATAACGTATTTTCGCCTAGAATTACTGGATTTCTTCCATTAGCGATGAAATCGGAAACTGCAGCTTCATTAAATATTATATCTGCGAAATGTTCGTATTTATAACAATGTTACATTAGTGAGCGTCCGACACTATTGTTTTACCAAGATTTTATTAAACAATCTCATAAAATGAGGTTTTTAACACTTACCAGGCGGAACCTCGCCATAATTGAGTTTCCTGAACTAGCAAGACTTTTAATTGACTAGTTTAATTGTGTTCCTTCTTCTTCATTTCAGGTAAATTCTTTACGAAAGCAGCTAAAAAACAAACAATTAGGTGACGGTGTGTCCAGAGCATTTTTAAGAGCATTGGTACAGTTAATCGGAGGTTATCGGGACGCTCTAAAATTTCAACCAGGTCAGAAAGTTACATTTGATGAAGAACGATTTATCGAGACAAGGCCACCATCGTTGCAGCCATTTTTAAGAGAAATGCTGCACTTACAAATTTTCCAGCAGGTGAGAATTACGTATAAATACACAAAATATTTGATGACATAAGCGGAGAAAGGTGCCATAATGTCGCATTTAAAAAATACTTTAAATAATTTTTGTTATTTTGAATAATTCTGATATAGTTCATTTTTGTAGAATTTTTTTGACGTTCTTTATTGGATATGGTTTTTAATTCCAAAATTAATTTATTCTTTTTTTTTTAATTGTACTTGAAATTAAAAATCAGAACATGATCTGGTTGAATGCATCAATGTGCACATACCAAGATTCAATACTTAATCTAACTTTAAAAAATGATCACCTATAAATTTGTTCAAACATCTATATAAGTACGTATGATTTATTACGTTTTAATCTTCTGACTTCCTGAGCTTTATCCAGGTGTTGAAAGGCCTCTACGTTGGTATTAGAGCCCTAACATATTTCTTTATCGATAAAATATATTTGTTTCTAAATATTGCTCTGTAAATATTTCTGTCTCCACAAACATTCCAGCCCTGTATTATATTTATTTTAACAGAAAGTCTATTTTTCGTTAAATGTCTTTTTAAAGTTTTTATTATCCCATAAATCACATACCCAATCATATAAACTCCTGGAAAACATTAACGCACCACTTTCATTAATATAAATATTTACAATATGGACACAAAATAAAACTAAGTTACATTGAAATAATAAAAAACACCTACAAATAGATCCAACATGACTTTATCATGACCTTAATTTGCCTTATTGTTTGTTCCCAAGTATTTGCATTCATTTACTTTTTCGAGTTGGGTACCGTTTATTGCGATACTAGCATGGACGTATAAATAAAGACATCCATGGATACTAGTGTCTTGTATTGGATTGGTTATAGAATATTAAGAATATATGAATTTCTTCGTTGGTTACGTAGCGATAAGCTTTTGTAATCGTTCGGAGAAATTTATTTTAACTCCGCTGTATTATCAGTATATTTGTTGATTGAGTACAATCCCACAGTTGTACTCTATACATCCATATTTTTTTTTAATTATAGACATTGGTATTATTACAGGTTTTATTTAGATAAATCTTGCAACTTTAGGTCAAGTTTAGAATATTTCGGATACACCGGGGTCGGTGATTTATCTAGTTTTGAGCCTAATCTGTTCATCTTTCTGCCTGGAAAGATGTTTTCAATTTAATCTTCCATCACGGTGGAGTCTGAGATATTTTACTGGGTCAAAGTATTGTCACCAATACTAATCTTCAAGGTTTTTTTGCCAATTTTGTTCCCAGGAAAAGCAACAGTATTTTCAAACTGCCACAAAGATTTAAAGATTATGTTTCCAATTGATTATTTGATTGAAAGATTGTTTTTTGTATAAACTTTAAGCTTATGAGCTTTTATTTATTATTTTAAACTATATTGTCTTTTTGGGTTGAGTTTACCGAAAGTACAAGCTGAATATAGCCGCAAATGTCAACTATGAAACAAAAAAAATTTGGTTTAGCAGTGTTGGGATGTTTTTATAATGCGTAATGTTGTATGCTTCAAATACAAAATGATAAAGCTTTTAAAAAGGACATTTTTATTATACTATTTTATGAGTTCTGCGATTTTTAATTTATATGAAACAATAACGAGTAAATATTTGTGGTCACGATCTCTAGGTGCTCTTGAGGTTGCTACAATGTGGAATGCCACTCTGTTGGGAGCTATTAATACTTTGTCTCCAGTTGGAAGTCTGCTACTATCAAGTTTACTAAGTAAATACCATGCTTTTCTGCTTGATTTACTAAAGTCTAATTTTTCCACAGTGTCCATCGATTTTTGTCGTCTGGCTGCATCCAAACTGTGTAGTAGTTTCTCGGTCTTGGCTTTCGGTGTATTTTTGATACAATTTCTCACATTTTTCATCCCATCCTGGGACATAATCTTTACGATATCCTCTGGATATAGTTTTCTTTAGTGTGAAAATAATCGCACCAACAAATCTCATGTAGTTTGCACGTGTTGAGAATATCCATCCCAAACATTTGTCCAATCTCTCAGTAAAAGGTGCCCAGTCTGCTTTTTGAAAGTTCCACCTAGGTCGAGGAAAAGATGATGTTATTGGTATTTTTATGCCAACTTCTATTACACTTGGTCTATGTTGGCCTGCCAATGGTTGATTGTTTTCATTTGTGGAAACAAAACATGACGGTGATCTCGCCCGGGCAGATGAAAGTTCATGGTTTCTCGCCTCCGGCTGCAGATCGAAGTTCCCGGTCTTCGGCGTCAAAGACTAAATAAGTGTCAGCCTCTTCGCTCCAGTTTAGCAGAGCCTCGCTGTTTTGATCACTGCGCCTATAATTATAGAGTTCATGATAACTGTCGAAGTCTCCAACATAAACTGAGAGGTTCGGGTGGGTGTGAGTTACATGCGGAGGCAGCAGAACTACCGGGGGTTTGTAAATATCGCTAACGGTAATTTCGCCAATTTGTATAGTAACCGTATGAATGTTATTTATGTCTGATGTAGAACATATGTGCGCATTTTTATTTTGTTTCAAATATAGGTTGCCACTCCATAAGTTCGATGGTAAGTTGCACCCAATAAATCATAGCCATGAATTCTTCCACTAGCTAGAATTTGTTCTTCATTTTTTACATGGTTTTCCTGAATTGCGACCACGTCGATATTATTTTCAATGAGTATATTTTGAATGTACGCACATTTACTTCTACTAATACCCTCTATATTTAAATGGCAGATTCGGATGCTTGGTCCGAGTTCTTTTGTCGCTTGGTACTGAGAAGGTCCATTTAAATTGTTGGTTGGAGGCATATATTATATTCGTGATGTGTTTTTGCCAGGAGATCTAGAGATGATTCTAGATTGTCTGGCTACCTATTGTGCTAGTTCATTTAGCATTACCCAGGGTGCACGTGTAGTATTCTACTACGGGCGCGAACTAGCTACACCCCATATCAATAATAAGACCGATATCAAAGATCACCCTAATATACGAGTATATTATAATTTAATTAATTAATTATAAAAAAAACGTTGACTAGGACACATGTACTATGAAGTTCGATAAAAAGTGACTGTCACAACGTCACTGCTTACTCGGTCTATAATAGAAACATTTTCTTTATAAATAAGTTCTTATCATTAGTTTCTCTTATATGTATATATATAATAATTCATGTATATATATATATATATATTAAATCTCTTTACTAATAACGTAGCTGCGAGATGAATTGGCGACAATAAATGCCATTAATTGAATAATGAAAGAACATTTCTAAATTGGTTTATTAATGTACAAAGACTCGAACGATACGACTACTTTGAAGCTATTAATAACGTTGTTCTGTTCGGAGATTGTTTTTACGTGTTTGTACGTCGTGTTTCAATTGCAGTAATGACTTTTCGTAGGTTGTAATAGTTTTGTGTCACTCAATAATTGAAATTACTTGAAAGGCAACATCAATCTGCATTAGGTACTGTTTTAGTGTTTAATTTATTTTACCAGACAATTTCCTATTTTTAAAAGTTTGGAAAATAAATATATATGTATTTTTTTTATTTTTTGAATTGTCTGTTTGATAAAAATCTACAGTTCAAAATTAAGTTTTAGATTTAAAGTTAGTAAATCTAGAATTAAGTTAGTTTTTACCCAACACAACTATACAGGGTATTGCTTAAGTAATTGTACAAAAAGAAACAATAGATTCTACACTTTAAAATATTACGATTTAAGCCAAATTGCTTTAATAAAATGTTGATATTAAGAAAGATACAGAGTGTTAAAGTGGAATTTTATTTGTCGCTATAACTTTCAGGTTTGTGAACATTTATGTATAAAAATTTAGAATTGGGAACTTTTCAATATGAGGAATTATAATTTGATGTATCTGATAGAGGGCGTCACATATGCTACATATGTGTCATAAATTTGCACTTAACCTTTTTGCTCTTTAAGTTATTGGTATTTGTAACAAAAAATATTAAAGATACATTATTTTAACAAGAAAAATATAGTTGTTAATAACTTCAAAACTTAAAACAGAAATTAACCAATCTGGTATAAGAAAAGTCAAAGATTTTAAAAAATCATCATTTTCAACATTTTTTAACAAAATTTTTAGCGAACAAAATTATTGAAAAAGTGTTTAAACAGGAGTGCTGTAAACAAAGAGCAGTTTCCAGCCACGCTCAAAAAATCCAACACAGTTTCAAAATAGAGCGCTCTGAAAAAACTTATATATCTCGGGTAATACTGGACCAAAATTAATTTTGAATACTGTTCAAAGTTTATGTTTTTTTTTTGATTATAAAATAATGTGGATTATGTCATATTTGTGAAAACGTGTCGAAATAAAATGTCATTTTACTTCAGAAGCTAAAAATTGTTAAAAATCATTATTAAGTAGGGGAAGGTGGGGAATATCGACTACTTAAGACAGAACTGTTATAGACTGTTTGCTATAGATTTTACAAATTTAAAACTTATAATATGGACATTTAGTTCAATCAGTTAACCAATTACTGCTTCAAAAATATTATAAAATAATTACAAATATTGTAAGTATTAAAAATGGAGATGGGTAATATCGATCAAGGATGGGAAATATCGATCACAGATGGACAAGTTCAATGGTTAAGTTTACTTAGGTTTAAGTATAAAATACATATTTCTTTAGTTGCATTTACAGTTTGAGCAAATATAAAGAGTAGCAGTATCCGCTTCCGTGCAGTCTGCATGAGCCCAGGGACCAAAGAGACGGCATCTTCACCATAATTCATTTGATCCAAACTCCGAAGATACTGCACATAGTTAGCGTTCTCGTGTTTGGTCTGCTTTCACGCCATAAGTCTTCTTCTTGACTAATTTATCTGTTTTTATCTTAGTAGCTCCAATTGTTCGTCTAACTTTCTCAACCTCATTCTTCTTTTGCTTTTTTTGTTACTTCTTTTCTAATTGTTCTTTTAATGGTGTTGATGTTAAAATGGTCGAGTGTTGAGTTCGCCTGTTTCTAGTTTTTGTATAACTACTGACTGGTAGTGCCGGTAGTGGGCATAGTTCACTGAAAGATATACGAGATAAGCTTTCATTTTTTAGCTGCACAGATTTATTCTTATCGTCGCTCAGATCAATGTCTAAAGATCCTTCCTGATGGTGCTGCTTTTAGTCTCAGTTTGTTATTTTGGACTCCACTGGGCCCTGGTAGTTCATCTAAGGGAACTGGTGTTGGCGATGGTGTTTGATGTGTATCGGATACATTATCTTGATATTGTATAACTAATGGTATAGATATTAATTCTTCTTCACAAAAATATCGAGATTGAAGGGAAAGATCCCTGTGGTTCGAAAACCATTTACAGCCTTCTCAACATACGCAGCCCTGTTAAAGGCATTTTTAACAAGTTCCGCAACGTCTGTTGTATTGATTTTCTCATTTTTTTTTTTTTTTATATACTTGTCACATTCTTGATAGTATGCTGTCTTGAATGGAGAAAAAAACGTTATATCTAGAGGCTGGAGATGGTGGGAGGTGTGCGGTGGTAGTGAAAGGAGATTTATCGAGGTGTCGCGACAGAAGCGACACCTGTAGGAAGCCAGACTTAACTGCGTTGTGTGGTTATCTAGCACTAAAAGAACTGGAAGTCTTTGGAAGCATTAACATGCCGCTGAAAATGTTTCAACCATTCCAAGAAAAGTTGTTCCGCTATCCACCCTGATTTGGAACATCTGTATATTGTCCTAATAGGACCCTTTTATCCAAACCTTCTTTCATCCGATTTCTTCTATAAATAAACATAGGTGTCATAAATATTACTGATACCTGTCTCATCAACATTAAAAATTTGATAACATTCAAATTTGTAACGATCACATAGAGTTGCCAAGTTTTACATCTGTATATTGTCCTAATAGGACCCTTTTATCCAAACCTTCTTTCATCCGATTTCTTCTATAAATAAACATAGGTGTCATAAATATTACTGATACCTGTCTCATCAACATTAAAAATTTGATAACATTCAAATTTGTAACGATCACATAGAGTTGCCAAGTTTTTGTAAAATATCTTTAGTTTTTCACGATTAAAAGCAATAATTCTACTCCAACTTGTTGCTTCTGGTTTACGCAAACTGAGTTCTGGATGACGGTGCATAAATGAATAAAACCAGTCTTTTCCACACATTTTCGTTGCCATTTTAAATGGATGTTTAAATTTGTTTTGCTCTGCATATTCAAAAACCATTTGACGTATGGTACGTGACTTAAGGCTAAAAAACGCCTTCGACAGTTCTAAAATTATAGATACAAATTCGGATTCCTCTTCCTTGGTAAAGACAGCTTTTCGTCCTAGTGTTGTAATTCTTTTGGACTCGAAACGACCTCTTAATCGGTCTTGCAATGTTCCATAAGGGATGTTGTATAACTTGGATGCTCCTTTTATCGAAAGTATTTTGTCAGCTATATCGCTGAGGACTCTTTCCATCGCCTGTTCTCTCCATGAGGACCGTGTTGTTTTTCTGTGATATGTTCGTGGCTTCTGAAGGAAATAACATCAACTGATACCTTGACCTAAGACTGATTAAGGTAATAACGATCACATTGGAGTAAAATCGACCACTATATTCAATTTTATCCGAAAGTGTTCTTATTGTTAACATTACCTTTTTTAGAAAACACTTAACTTGAAATTATATGATTTTGTGATATCTGTATTCTATAAAATTATATAAATATGTTTTCATGCATTGTGAATACTAAAATACAAACTTCGGCTAATAAAGGAGCCCTTACCTTAAAATACGATTGTAGAATCTTATAAAAATCTTCCACAAAACTCAAATTTACTAGACATTAAGTACCTATGGTGTATGAAAAACGACTAAGTGGCCAGTGCACCACCTATTGTTGATACGTTCAACATGTGCGCATTCGTTTTGCTCTGCGACGTGAATTAGATGAAATTTGAGAGTGATCGATATTGCCCTGCCGTCGATATTCCCCCACCCTCACCTAGCTCTTTCTTGAACGAACTATACTCTATGAACTCGACCTATAGTGAAAAACATTAAAATTTATTTCTTTTGAAATCTGGACTTCTAACTAGAAAATACTGCATTCATGCTCTAATTTCTCAAACAATAGTACTATTCTCTTCTCTCAAAATGCTGTCATTTTTTTAGTGTTTTATTACTGCTGAAATTGCATATAATTGATGTGAATTATATCAAATTGTCATTGTAAACAAACTAATCGATTAATTAAAGTCAGTCATTGCTTTTTTATTCTTGATATATTCAATCAATCATTTGCAGTTAGTTATAATTTATTATTTATGGCAAATAGTTTTAATTTTTTAATCTGTTATCAATTTGATTTTAATTTATTATTCATACAAAAGATGCTTCAATATCCAAATGTTTAAAATACCGCACTCTGACTAGCAGTATAAAAATAAAATAAATGATTTTCGAAATTTTCTAATGTATCATCAATCTGATTTAGTTTATTGAAGAACGATTGACGATGTTGAACACCGGTCAAGGCTTTTCGGATGAGTTTGAGTTCGAAATAGAAGGTTATTCTGCAAAATCGGGTTCAAAACTAAAACAACAATATAAGGAATGGACGACGACGATGAAAAAGGAAGGAACTGCGTTTTTCAAAAGCGTAAAGGATAAGGTTAGTTAAAGAATTTTTAATTGTATTTAAAATTAATTTTTCTACTGTTTCTAGGCTAATCCGGCTATGAAATCTGCTGTAAAAACGGTAAGTTTTTAAAATTTTATTGTGAGATTTGCTTGTATGTGTTTGTGTGTGAGGGCGTGACATAACCTAACCTACTCTTTCTTTGGTTGTGAAAAGTTCTAATCTATTTTTGGTTATGACACAGTTTATTCCCTCTTTATAAAGGCTTTATATGTTTCTCTATAAACTCATGGTTAATGTTAGCTCTAGGTACTCTGTCAAAAGCTGTATATCTACAAATCTCAGGTCAAGTTCTTCACCTCTGTTCTGTATTTAGCTTCATTGTCCTTTGGGATGAACTAGTTGTGTGTTTCTTCTTTGGGTGCTCTGGGAGTATTGTTTAGGTGACATTTGTCTTCTCTTCAGGACATGTTTGTACTTTTGTGGATGGTAGCACTGGTTTCTGGTTGTTGGGTCTAGGGTACCTTCAGAGGGTGTTCAGAGGAAAAAAGCGCTTGGAGAAGTTTTTTTTTCAGAAATGTGTTAGTGACTAAATTGATTATGATTTAATGAATTTATCGATGAACTTTGACTCTATTGTTACGCGTTGAGAGCAGCTGTGGCTGTTACCTCCCTATGGACAGGTATAATTGTGCAATGGGATCGGAAAACCACAGTAAACTGATCTTCTGTAGGTAAAGCTCGAAGTGTGTGTCGATGTATTCGTTGGTGGCAGAGGTCAGCAGTTTTGTGGGTAGGAAGGTGAGTTTTCTTTTAGGATGTCTGTCGAATAAATTTCCTGAAGATGAGCAGGCAGTTTTGAGTATGTTTTAAAATCGGAAATTTTGGACTATGATAGTTTTTAGGGTGTAACTCCTACTCAGAGAGGAAAGTCTATCAAGTATGGTAGGGATATTCGATAGTTGATATATTAGGTTGGAGGCATATACTTTCGTTTGTAGTTTACTTTACGTAGATTACTCCTTTCCAACGATAGCAGGCTGTTTTCAGAAGTCCCAATTGAGCAAAACGTAGATGCTTTGTACTCACGGACCTTATGTACGTTTTGTGTGTGTGTGTGTGTGTGTGTGTGTGTGTGTGTGTGTGGTGTGTGTGTGTGTGTGTGTGTGTTTTAGTTTGCGTCCGTCCGAATGTCCCACATATAGTCTTAAATGGGCTGACTTTTTTTCTATCCCTGTTACCGGTTGTGATCAGATATTGTCTGTAGTTTATCGTTATACAATACACTGTTAATAATTTCCTTTATAGTGAATATATGACCTATTGTACTTCCTCCCTTTTGAAAACCGCCCTGTGGCTGTGTTAGTTCTGATTCATCAATAATTTCCAATTTGTTTTCCAGTTCTGAAACTGGTTTCTTGTGGCATGTCCAAGTTAAATACTATGTTTATATAGGATTAAGCTAAAATTGATTGTAATGAAAATGTGACTTACTTAACCTCGATTTTGTAGGTAATAGCCTATGTGTAGTCGAAAAAATCTTTATTGTGGTGTTTATACCCTTGGGATGTCAAATTCGCAATGTGGCACGTCAAGTATAAATGTGTCGCGAATCTCTAAAAAAAAGCAGTAAATTTTCATAAATTTCACCTGTATAAAATGCAAATTCTTCAACAGCTTTTTGATGATAAAGGATTTTGCGAAACAATGACGGATTTAATAATTGTTAACCAAAATATTTGCTTTACTGATGAGTTACGTTTTTTTCTTAATGGACATGTTAACACGCAAAATTGTCGATACTGGAGTGATGAAAATCCGCTACTTTTTAGGGAAGGCCATACACATTATCCCGAGAAACTGTACACTTGATCTGGTATTTCTTGGGAATACTATTATTGGGCCTTTATTCTTTGAGGAAAATATAACTGGCGAGAGCTACTTAAATCTGCTTGAAGAAATAATAGACCCGTTAATAACAACTACTTTGGAAGATTTTTGATTTTTGGATTTTGCAAGAAGGTATGATTCACTTTCAATAAGATGGAGCTCTGGAGGTCCACCACATCACTTTCTTCCGTTAGACAGATTTCCTGATAGATGGAGTAGTCGAAGAGGAGTAATAGAATGGTCACTACGATCACCCAAGATTGCACCTCTAGATCCTATGGGGATATCTAGAATTCAATTGTCTATAAAACACACACTCGAGATTTGGAAGATTTAAAGGGAAGAATAACAGGTGCGTGTAGGGAACTTCAGTCTGAAGTTTAAAATGAGCTATCACTTAACTCCCTTTTCCATTTAAAGATTTTGGGGGTTGGGTCCGACAACGCTAGAAGCTTGATGTAATATTGTTGAAAACTGGTCTGCAAAATGTCCCCCTTACTAAAAAATTTGACTTGTTTTTTCATATTTTTAGATTTTCTATAGGGACCAAATTATAGAGGGTGGTACCTTTTCAAATTGACATACCGTTTAGTAATTTTTAACACCTATGGCCGATTTTCTATTTTGTTAAATACTTTGAGTGGTACATTAAAAGCTATTTACGTTTCTAATACTAGTCAAAATTGTGTGCATGTCCGTATTTTGGCGGAAATGGTCGTCAAAAAACTGTTCCATGCGCTTCTTTGTAAATGGCTTCCTGTGGCGTGGTTACCGATGTAAAATGATGTCTCTCTCTTTCTCTCTCTCTCTCTCTTTCTCACACACACACATACATTATTATTAACATACTGAATATCCATTGGGGCTTACACCTTCGTAAGCCAGAAATCACGGAGAAAAGTTACATCGTATGTCCTCTGATACCTTTAAAGTTACCAGTGTAATCCGCACAGTATCTGAGAACGCGGTATACGTTATAGTCGGGATGCTACCTATTACTGCTACTGCCAGCTTAAGAAACTTTGCATTAGGAGAAGAAAATCCACGGGCAAATAGCTACATGGAAGGTACAATCTCGAAGCTATTCGACTTTTTAAAAATGGTCAGGCTAGAGAATGTTATCTAGGACTAGAGGACCACAATAAATCTGAAAAGGTCGCAGTGGAATCGGCCAAAAGGCCACCTCTCTAGGTCTGTCTATCTATCTAGCTGAAGAAAGGAAGACCCTTTATCGGCAAAGAGAGTCAACTACAACTACATTGTGCCTTGATGAACTCAGAACAAGAGAACGACAAAAAGCATACGTCGATAGTAAATGCAATATGATTCCGCAATAGCGGGCAGGTGGGCGCACTATCTTATACCAAAGGTAAATGTTTGGCTGAACTGCAAACATGACGAGGTACTACATGCATACTATCTGCATAGTATCTGACGCAGATGCTTTCACTACATGGCTGCTTTCGAGTATATCTTTATAGCTTCAAATATGACGATTCTCCAGAATGTCTGTCCTGTCTCGGGGTCAGTGGAGACGCTGAGCACCTATTCTTTGTGTGTCCTCGTTTCAACTTGCTATGCGATACTCTCGAAACTGTTATCAAGCAGACAATTCGATCAGAGACCTTAGTAGGAGAAAAGCTTTCATCTAAGGCAGCTTGGGATACCATCAGCACATCCTGGAAGTTCTCCAAGATTTTCGTTGCATTAAAACGAGGCTAGCTGAAACTAGAGACGAGTTAGAAGGAGAGAAACAATGATTCCGATAATCTGTAGGAAGAGCAATAGCTAGATCTTCCCGCCGTGAAGGAATGCCTTACGTCAGTTTCTCGGGGAAAGCAGACGTAGAAGAAAGGGTGGGGTTTTTAGTCGGTATTATAACAAGAGTCCGACATACCAGGCAGTACATCTAGTCCTTATGATACGCCAATATATTTCCAACCTCTATAAAAAAAACACACATTTAAAAGCAGATTAGCAAACATTATATATATATATATATATATATATACTATATATATATATATATATATATATATTATATATATATATATATACGTAATTACGTATTTATTTTAAATTTTAGGTGAAGGATGGTGGTAAAGGAGTAAAAAGTGCCTATAAAGGATTGCGATCGAAACTCAAAGACAACCCAAGTCCACTTCAACTAGAAAACGGCCTTGAACGAGGCGACAAACATCGATCTGCCCCCAATTCTCCTACTGGAAAGCGGAGTACTATAGCTGGTTTCAGTGCACCTGTCGCCACTTACCGCAAAGATGCAGCTCTAGCTCTTAAAAACTCAGCTATGCAAAGGTTGGTTTTTTTAAGTAAATCTGTTAAATATATTCATACTATTTAGGTACTGCTTAATTGTTGTTAATTTTTTTCAGTACCTATTTTAGATTCTTTGTGTTAAAAAAATACACGGAAATGATTTTTATATATCATCATCAAGTTTAAGTTTAAATTCCATTTTCAATCAATCATTTCAGTTTAAGAATCAGTTTAAATTCAATTTTTTGTCATAAATGTGTTTACTATCGACAACTATTCTTAAACTTTTTCTTTAGTTTCTAGTTGTGTATTTTTTGCTCATTTTTGTGTTTTTTTTTTCGGATATCATTCGCTTTTACTTTACATAGTCTATGTAGATGCCACGCGGCATCTACATAATAAAATATCTAAAGTTGCATTTGTTGCCCCAGTAATTACGCTGACATGACCGCTACCTATTGGTACCATAAGGAACTAAAATCTTGTTCAATGTCTTCTTCTCCTAGTATGTGTATAACTTCTTCCGAAACTGAAAAATTTCAGTGAAAGATCGATTATAAATAATAGCGATTTAAATTTGATAAAAGCTTGTCTTGCTTGTTCGGTACGGCATTTTATTTCTTGTTGAGGTTCCCATTGGTCATTCATCATCATTCCCAAGTATTTAAATGTTTTCACTTGATCGATTGGAGCATTATCTATATGCAGTTGTATTCTTAACAGTGGGTTTTTTCTTATTGCCATGCATTTAGTTGTTCCAGCATTTATCTCCAAGCCATATATTTTTCCTACGGTGTTTATTTTATTTAACATCAACTGCATATCATGTTCGTTGTCTGTTATTATCGCGGTGTCGTCGGCGTAACGAATGTTATTTATCGGGAACCCGTTTACATTTATTCCACACTCAGAGCCTTCTAGTGCCTCTGCAAAAATGTTCTCCACATAGAGATTGAAAAGCATAGGAGACAAAATACACCCCTGTCGCACCACTTTTAAAATTTCAAATTCTTCTGTGTTGGTTGATTTGTTCAGTCTCACTCGTGCTTTTTGATTCCAATAGAGATTCTGAATAACTCTTATATCTTTCTCGTCAATGTTAGCGTTGTGTAGCATTTTTATCATTGCGTCATGTTTTACAGTGTCAAACGCTTTTTCATAATCGAGGAATGTTATGACTATATCCTTTCGTTGATCCATGCAGTTTTGTACAAGCGTATTCAAGCAGAAAGCTGCTTCCAGCTTGTGTACCCAGTCCGCTCTTGAAACCAAATTGTGTCTCACCGCTTAGATCTTCCAGCTTTCTGAACATTCTTGTGTGAAGGATGCAAAGAAACACCATGGCTCATTAAACTTATCAGTCTGTGGTCTTTGCATTTTGTCGCTCTTTGTGATTTAGGGATCATTATAAAGGTTGAATAAAGCCAATCCGTTGGAATGTGGCCTGTGTTATATATGGCATTGAAAATTGTTACCAGCATGTCGATGTTATCATCTTCCAACAGTTTTATGGCTTCCGTAGTAATTCCATCCGGTCCAGGGGCCTTGCCTAGTTTTGCTTTTATAGCGTACTCCACCTCGGCGCGAATAATGGGAGGGCCGGATAAATTTTCTGTGGGTAAGTTAGTAGTTGGCAGATTCGGTCTATTATCCGCAAAGAGGGACGAAGCAGAGTTTGCCCAGATTTTAGCTAGTTCTTCCTGGATATGAACGTAGTTTCCCTGATCATTTTTAGGCGAGTCTCATGGTGTTTCTTGTATATATTCGAAATTTCTTTGACCTTTTTATGTAGTCCAAAGCTGTCTCCCTTTTGTTGTAGTGATTCCAATTCTTCACAACGTTCTTTCATCCAGCTTTCCTTTGCGTTTTTAATTCTTGTCCTTATCGTATGTTGGATTTTCTTGTATTCCTGTTGATTCTGATGTATTTTGTACTGTCTGCGTTGCTCCATTAGATCAAGTATCTCTTCCGTCATCTACTCGTTTTTGAGATTTCTTTTTGTTTTACTTGCGACTACTTCGTCAGCCTCGACTATAGATATTTTTATTTTCTCACAGGTTTCCTCTATACAATTTCCTTGTATGTTTCTCAGGTTCTCGTTGATGTGCTTATTGTATGTAGATCTAAGCTCTTCATCTCTCATTAATTCTCTAGTGTTAATGTATTTTTTATTAGATGGCTTTTTAACCTTTGCCAATCGAAGCCTTACATTCGCGATTAGTGGGTTGTGGTCAGACGAAATGTCCGCACCAGGGTAAGCGTCCACTCTTTTTATATAGTTGCGAAATCTTTGTTTATCAAGATGTAATCAATTTGATTTCGTATCATATGACCTGGACGGTGTCCTGGTGCTCGCCATGCCTATACAATCTTCTTGTTGGGAGTTAATACCACATATTGGATATGACAAAATCGTGGTCATTACAAAATTCAATTAGTAACTCTCCTCGCTCATTTTTGTTACCCAGACCGAAATCACCGACCGCATTACCACATCTACCCCTACCGACTTTGGCATTAAAAGCATTAGAAGTTATTAATAAGAAAATACCAGTATTAGTAAGTCAGTAACATATAGAGGATACATCATTTATGTTTTTTAAATAACGTAACATATAAAATCAGAATTTTGATGTTTGTTGAAGGTAAACTAAATTCACGAACAAATACTTACAATGTCGGGATAGTATTATGAGGTTTTTTCCTGGTTTTCCCTCATAATTTACTATGGAATCACTAACAGGAGAATTTTACTGTCATCATGTCATGTGTTTGTCTTTTTAAAGACGAATTACATGCTATGATTTTTTTCTGACGGATATTTTCAAGTTAAAGTTGATTTCATGTAATCGAATGAACTATCTTATAAGTAAAGTCGTCCCAGGAGCGCAACTCAACAATATTGGCAATATCATTTTAAAGTCGTCTACTTTAAAATGCATAATGTATGTCTGAATTGTCAATATAAATGAGTCAGATAAAATTAAATTATTAGAAGAATTTTTCACTATGTAACAAAAAACAAAATTTGTTTAATTTACTGTTTGTATTTTGAGAACGATTTCCGAAGTGGAAATTGAAACGTCAATAAACGTATTTTTATCTTTAATTGTGGCTTATTCCCAGTTTAATAGTAATTAATTTACAATGCCACAAGAAAATACCTTCAGAACAATATTAAACTTGGATTAGATTTATATTAATTGGTTGACCGGCTAATAGTTGGCGGAATAGTACACAGTAAAATTGTCTTTGTGACAAATACCTGAGCCAGACCACCTCAATTCACTTACACCCATTGCTTTAACTTATAGGCGCCGCATTTCTTTGAGCAGGTTATGTAACTTTCCTGGGATGCACAAACTATTGACGTTCCATGTCGCTACTTTATGAATAACATCTTAAAGTCGAACCCGGGGAATTTTAGCACCCTCGGACCATCTAAGGTCTGCCCGGGACTGAGGGCCTTTGCTTCAATTTTGTCCGACATATAAGATAAATATTCCAGGGATATCCGTAGGGATCTTTAATATAGTGGTTTCCCCTTACCTTCTATATCATTATGCCGTTGGCCAAATTTTGGTTCATCCGCCTTCGGGGTCGATTTCTCAACCCTAGGACAAAAAGGTGGCCTACCACTTACCAACAACTACTACGCCCGAAGCCGTTGGTCAGTAAGTGGGGGACTGCTTATACCGGCAATCACTCGGTGAAATTTTCGCCATATCTGGCTACCCTCACTTAGTTTAGCCTGCAGACCAATGCAGTTGCCCGGGGTGTGGCGCGTGGAGCCATAAGTGAGAGATAGGTGTCTTATGAGGACCAGTTATCAAGAACCATCTCCCGTCTATGATGCTCGATGTGGTCGTTCCAATAAAAGGTACTACTTATATAACACAACCCTACACCCCAATGAGTAAAACTGAAAAAATGCAGACTTAATCGATTGAAAGTGTCTATTAATTCTTTCTAACTAATTTACATAGGAAAATCTGAACCTTCTATTAAATTCAAATAGCTCGAGAATTATTGTTGTTGAAACTAACACTATTATAGTAATATTTGATAATATGTATGGTGTAGGTTTAAAACTTTTCACCTTGTCCTCGTAGAATGCATTAGAACTGACTAAAAACCAGTATTAAAACTGTCTCAAATATTTAAACAAAGCCAATAGACATTTTTTTCCAAAGATGTCTTGAGGTATTTTTTCAAAAATATCTTTATAATTTCCAAACGTGTTAATGAATAAGATCGCAGCAGACAGGAAAACTAGACGTACAAGAAATATGAATATAATAAGTTACAGAAGCATCAAACAAACTCAGACAACATACCGGTAAAAAATAAAGTTTATATTACATGTAATCGACTACTTTTTATTTGTTTTAAATTTTTTAAGTTTCTTTATTTGTATTCTGTTAATTTTTGATTAATCTTAAGTCATTTTTCATTTGATTTTAGAAAAATTTAGATATACTGTGACTACAGTATATCTAGATGAAAAAAATGTGATGTAAGTTACTCGACCAGTAAACCATTTACTGATTGCCGACTCATCATACACAAAAATGTACACCTTTGCTGTGCTGCATCTTCTATTGGTTCTCGCTAAACAGATATGGATATATCAAGCGGAAAAATTTAAGTACTAAATATCTGTAATAATTTAATAATATTTAAAGCATTAAAAAACGTTTACCATTGTCATTTTAATGTACCCATTTTTATTTTATTAGATCTTACAGTCCACTTAGTCCTAGTTCTCAACCGATGTCGCCTGATGTTATTGATAGCCCTCGCAGCGGAAGTCCCGTCGAGATACCTCAGATCGATTTAATGAATGAGATGGAAGACTTGTTACAGTTTCGACTCGATACGCCACCAGTCGACAGATCTGTAAGTAGTTTTTGGGTGGAATTCGGTGGGTCATTGTTCATGCTTTCATTTTCTGCTTTAGTAGTGATTCATTTTGTCGAAAAAAGCTAGTAATTAAGAAACTTTAATAAAAAAGGAAAAAACTTCCAATGTAATTGTTGTACCTACATAGTGATCTAATTTTCTAAAAAGTAAACTTAGAATAAATCAAAACTGTTTTCCTCTCTATAAGCCATAAAAATTTTTTATTGTTACATTGCATGTTTACAATCTACTGTATTCACATAGTAATAGATAAATAAACTTTAATAAACTTAAAGGCAGATATCGAGCACAATTTTATTAATTAAATCTTGCCCAAGTACTTTCGCTTTTCTAAAACATCATCAGAGGCATTTTGTCAGTATTGAGCTATCTAACACTAAATAAGGACAAACAGTTTAAAATTATATAACGCTACATTCTTGTCGCCAACAGGAGAGAGAATGATAATTTATTATTAGAAGGAGAATTTAAATAATTTTAAACTGTTTGTCCTTGTTTAGTGTAGTGTTTGTACAATTTTATGTTTAATGTTATGTTTATTACATTCTGCGCTTGTTAGATAGCCCAAAACTGACGAAATGTCCCTGATGATGCTTTAGAAAAGCGAAACTACTTGAGCAAGATTTAATTAATAAAATTGTGCTCGATATCTGCCGTTAAGTTTATCGAAGTTCATTTATTCGAGCATTCAACCTTATATCAATAAGTAAATAGTCTGTAAGTAAATTAACGTGAGTTAGGTACCGTCCAGTGATGGCTCTCTAAGTATTATTGAGGTAGGTCTTCTGGCCATACCCTCTTCAATCTTCTTTCGGTAAGTGGTTGGGTGAATAAGTTATTTATCAGTTAATTGTTGTGATCAGTGGTGCGATTTTTATATTTTATTGAGTGATTCTTTATTATGTCCTTAAGTAATGGGATGTCCAGATCATTGTGAAGTGTTTGGTTAGATACATACCATGGAGCTTTACCTATCATACGGAGTATTTTAGATTGGAATGTTTGAAGTATCTTCGTATTTGAAGGTTTACTACAGCCCCATAGTTCTATTCTATATGCCCAAACTGGTATGAGTATAGCTTTGTACAGAAGCAGTTTATTTTCAAGAGATAACTGAGACCTTTTGTTAAATAGCCAGTTCATATTTTTTAGTTTAAGATCTAGTTGTTTCCGTTTAGTTGTAATGTGCGTTGTCCATGTAAGTTTTTCATCCAGGTGCAATCCCAAGTATTTGACAACTGGTTTTATAGGAATGGGAGTATTATTAATATAAACTTGGACATGTGGATTTTCTTGTTGTATAAGTAATGTGTACTGATTTGCTAGCATTAACACTGATCTTCCATCGCTTAAGCCAGTTTTGTAATTGATCTAAATGATTTTGTACTTTTTGTGATGTTACATTAGGGTCGATATTTACTGCCAAGATTACCGTGTCATCGACAAATATAGCTAAGAAGGTATCATTGCTGATTGGAACGTCTGCTGTAAATATCAGATACAGAAATGGGCCCAAAACGCTACCCTGAGGTACGCTAGATTGTATGATGTGGTAATTTGAGTAGCTGTCTTCATTTTGACTTGGAACTATCAGCACTATCAGGAACGGTCAGTTACGATTTTAGTATAAAGTATAGTTGGTCTGTTAGGTGTAATTTCAGTTTTTAGAGACCTTCATGCCATACTATATCAAATGCCTGTTGTATATCTAGAAACACTCCAGCGCAAAACTTTTTTTCTTCGAGAGTTGTTTTAATTATATTTACTATTCTGTGGCATTGTTGGATGGTTGAGTATTCACGTCTAAATCCGAATTGGTGTTGTGGTATGATTTCGTTTATGGGAACAAGTTGATCGATTTTATGTAATAGTAATACTTTTGACATTATTGAGAGTAGGCTTATAGGACGATATGAATTTGCTTGCGTTGCGGGCTTACCAGGTTTCGGAATCATAGTAACTTCAGCAAATTTCCATTGTATTGGAAAGTATCGAAGACGCAGTATGCTGTTGTATATTATTGTTAATAGCACCATTGCTTTTCTCGGTAGCTTCTGAAGTAATTCACCTGTTATCAAATCATAGCCAGAAGCTTTCGTAGAATTTAGCATTTTTATTTGTTGTCGAACCTCTGTCGGAGTAAATGTTGTCAGAGGAAGAGATAGTTGACATGGAGTTTCGAGGTACATTCTTATATCGTCATCTTCATCTTTATTAGTATCTGGTGCTGCGAATACAGTTGCAGATGCTCTGTGAATACTGTTGTTTTTTCTGCGTTTGTGCGGGCCCAGGTCATATCTGTTTTTCTTAAAGGTGAATTTGTTATTGTCGGTCGTTTAAATTTTTTGTAGTTTTCCATATAGAGTGGTCTTCATGTGAGAGGTTCGAAACATTAAACTGGAAAGAGTTGTTTTTTCTTCATGTAATGCTCTATTTAGTCTATGACTTATCCTGTTATAATATGTTTAATTTAATTTCTCGTTTGTTGCCATATGCGTCGAGCTCTTTTTTTCTGCTATCTGTTTTTTTATATGAAGGGGGATGTTATGGTTTTCCTGCACACTTCTTTGGCTCTCTGTTGTTGCTTCCCATCCTGTTGTTTGTAAAACTGTTGTCAAAATAGTCTACTGCTTTCTCTACATCTTGGCTTTCTTTTATCCTAATATCTAGTCTACTTCTTGTATTTACAGAATTTTGGAAAACATCCCAGTTTGTTTTCTTTAGTGTACACCTACATTGGAACCGTATTTCTCCCGATGCGATATCTGGCGACGTCGGATTGAAAACAAACTCAAGGTATTAAATCAGAGTGCCTATACTGCTTCGTCACGGAAGCAGTATAGGCACTATGATTTAATACCTTGATTTTGTTTTCAATCCGACGTCGGCCGACGTCGCCCGATATCGGATCGGGAGAAATATGGTTCCAATGTAGGTGTACACTTAGTTGTGAGTTTGGGTGGTGGTGTTCCCCATATTATGTGTGTACTTAAAGTTATTATTATTGTACTGTGATCTGATGTTAAATCGAAGTTTGACTCTATTGCACTATAGATGTCAGATATCCCTTTTGTTGCAGCAAAATTTACCAAATCTGGAATTTTGTTGACATCCGTAGGCCAGTATGTGGGTTCTCCCGTAGATAAGTATCTTAAGTTATTTTGTTGATTTGATGATATTTATTAAAGTTCGACCTTTAGGCGTGATTAATCTGGAACCTCCTCAATGTGGTGTGTTTGTCATTCCAGTCTCCTGCTACTATTAATTTGGATCCAATAGTTTGTATAAAATCATGATACTCTTCGCTTGAAATTGGATGTCTAGGTGGGATGTAGACTGATGATACACTGAGGGAGGTGTTTGTTTCGATTTTGATGATTGTTGCTTGAATTTTTTCCGTAATATAAGGTTGGACTGTATAGTTGTAATTTTTGATTTAATAATAACGGCAGAACCTGCATGTGCTCCTTCGTCTGGATGGTTTGCATAAGACACAGTATAGTAAGGTATCTTAATAACCGTTCTTTGTGTGGCATGGCTTTCAAATTTAATATAATGTCTATATTATATCTCAATGATTTTTAAAAACAGTGATATCTCTAATATATGGTTTGAAATGCCATTAGCATTCCACGACGCAATTCGTAGTGACTTGAAAGCTATTTTGTTATTTTGTTAATGACTGTAGTTAACATGTTTAAAATCATGTAATGTAAATGTAATAATCGAAGCAGTCCGACAGATGTACAGGACCAATAATTTAATAATCAAATCTATTAAAGCAGAAAAGAACATTTATGGAAGTATAGTATACTATTTTTAAGTTGTTTGTGTTTGATTTGCAGCTTAAGCCAGTGCGAAGCTTAGAAAATTTCAAAAACACGTCACCCTTAAACAGCCCGGATAGATGGGCGGTAAATACCCGCGCTAGCGCACCCATGGCATCCCCCTCTAATCGCTTCTTCCTCCAAAACCTTGGCCATTCCCAAGAAACCCAAAACCTCCTACAATCTCCCGACGAAATATTTCTCTCTCCTCCTTCGGTTCCTCCCAGAAAACCGCCTAGAGACGCTAGCAGGAATCTCTTTAGCAGCACGCCATTTGTGGTGGGTGGTGGGCACAGCGAGAACGGAGACCCTTTATTTTTTGTCGCTAATCAGCATTCCGTTGATATTGTTAAGTTGTCGCCTCCATCGCATTCGCCTCGGCGGAAGGTAATGGTGTTTTTAGTGGAAAGCTTTTTCATTTTCAATTAGCCGAATTCTTACCAAAGTTGTAAGCTGTAAACTTAATAATGTTGTTCAATAATATCAAAATATTACAAAATAGGTATGCAACTTTTGTAAGAATTGTGGCAAAACAAAAACTACTTTTCTGAAAACATTTGCTTATAAACTTTAGCTCCATTTATAACATTCTTGGCACACATTTGTGATCATGTAGTTCGTATATTTCATTGAAGTATCCTTCATTTATAGCTTTATGAATCTTACATATACATATCGAAACTATTGCTATAATGATAATAATGCAAAAGATATATCGATTGTTAAAAAGAATTTATAGCTGATTTACTTTTCATCTCAGGGTATGTTAATTCATCCGGTAATTTGTTTTTGCCTCTGGGTACATTGAATAGTAGTTACCATCACCAACAAAATATACTTCTTCTAAAAAAGATATATATTGTAACCTCCTTTCTCTTGGGGAGTGTTTTTAGCTGGAGATAGATTTTGAAGAATACCACATGAGAACGGCACTCAGTTTTTGCGACGAAATTTATCGTGGATAAGAAGTTCAGATGTTAAAGGCCAGCAGGATACGAGACGGTGAGGAAAAACATATAAAGGAAAATAAAAAGAATTGCACGCCACCTTATTCTCAATCAGGTGGTTTAAGGAAACCTTATAACAATAAACAAAAAAAATAGAGGTACTAAAAAAATTGTATTGAGTTTTATTCCTGAAAGAAATGGTAACCTGGACTATAAGTTAGCACCCCTGAGGATTTATAAAAAAAATTATTGAACGATATATCATATCGAATACAAAGAAATCCTTGGCTGAAGAGAAGCTTTTATGAAAAGGAGACATCATCTTGGAAAAAAGATCAATAAAAATTGTAAAAGATCTATTTTACATCAAAAAATAGATGACAAAAACAGTTACATCAAAAATGTGAGAAAGTGTATTACAAACAATTATTTTCAAAGTTTTTTAATCTGCAGCTATTACTTATAAAAAGTAAATATGAATTATTAATAAAAAATTACGTTCGATGCGATTTAGCATTGAAGACCAAAGTCAGTTGAAGCTGAACACATCAGCTTCAGTCTAAAGAATATACAAAAAAATTGGATGTGGCACTCCGGGAGTTACCGAGGAAAGGAAGCATAGCTTTCTTATCGTCTAAGCACGGAGCGATGGTTTTTAATTTAATTTATTTTATTTTCACACCGACCATCGTAACCCGCGATAAGAAAGCTATGCTTCCAATAAAAAAAATCCGGTCCAGTTTGACCTTTTTAAATAATTGATGGATTCGACCGTTGCTTGATGGAAATTAATTTTATGTAACAATAAAACACTGAAAACTTTGTTTTCAAAACTTCCACAAATTTTTTTATAAAATCTTATCACTACAGCTATTTCGGCATGGTGCCTTTCTCAAGTGATCTATTTTTGGTATGCGTTTACATTTTATAGTCCTTTAACGAAATAGGTTGAGGAGGGGAGAACTGTTTGTCTTAAGTTGGTCATTCAGAATTATGTCTGTGTTTTTTAATTTGTTAATTTTCATACATTCTAACAAAGATAGCTTAAGGCCTTTTTTTAAGTGAAGAATTTGAAATTCGTCATTAAAAGAATGATTATGATCTAGAAGGTAAAGAAGTGAGTGTGTAGAACCTGTTTTTCTATTATTGTTCCTTTTATGTTCTGCTATTCGTTTATTAAAATTTCTACCAGTTTGACCGATGTAAGTTGGCTCTTGTTGTTTTAATATATTTGTATAAGTTGTTGTTTGTTCTGAAAGCTGGTGTTATTCCTTTCTTTTTTATGTGTATGGCTATTTTTGTTGATATTTTGCCTGTATCTGTAATCAAGCAGGAAGAAGAAGAATTTCTTGGCTGAGAAACCTAAGAGAGTGGTATAGTTGCAGCTTAGTAGATCTTTTTAGAGCAGCCACCAATAAGGTACGGATAGCTATGATGATAGAACCTCCGATAGGAGAAGGCACTACAAGAAGAAAAAGTAATCGAGCAGAAGGTACTGGGTTTTTCTCTGGTGGTGGAAATACTACTTTCAGGGCTTTCTTGTGTAGTTTTTGATTTAAAATTTTATTAAATGTTTGTTCGTTGTATCCATTGTTTAAAGCTATTTGCTTAATGATATTTAATTCTGTCTCAAAGCTGTATTTTGACATCGGAATTTCTGTTAATCTATCTAACATACTATGATAGGCTGCCAGTTTATGTTGTGTGTAATGGGATGATGAATTGTGTATAGTCGTGTCAGTATGGGTAGGTTTAAGATATATTACATCAAACTGAATTTGCTAGGCAGAAGATCGAAAACGACTGAGAAAGGTGTATCTCCAACAGTTGACACTGCTGACTATCTAATGTTCTCGGTGATGTGTTTGATAAGCCTTATCTTGTTTTAACCTATCTGTCAATATAGTCCTTATTACTGGTTTATGCATACATCCTTCAATAATTTATTCATTTTTGATATAAGCTGCTGAATATTGTTCTCCACGTTGGCGTAGCTCTTGGGATATAGTTGCTGAAGTTTTATGCTTCTATATTTATATAATTCTTTACAACATCCCATTATACATTCTTTTATTTAATGATATTACAAATTAATACCTGCATTTTTTTGTTTTACAGCGTGTGTTTAAGCCTAAACGAAGAGTTTTTATACTAAACCATTTGCTCGGCTTCTTGCTCTTCATTTACAGTAAGGGAACCTTGTCGGGATCCAAATTGTAGGTAAACTACATTCATTTTACATATTCCCAATTGTCAACAGATGCACGTGAAAGCCAAACAGGCTCTTACTGATGTGTATCATATGATTTTTAAAATATTTACTTTTGAAACTATTAGTGTAAGAATTTCTTGAAATTTAATCATTAAATCACAATTAAACTAAACTCTAAAAAATAACACTACCAGTAAATAACTTAACAATAACTAACTATATATATATATATATATATATATCATATAATATATATATATATATATATATATAATCTATAACTTAAATCCAATAGGATACAATTTGAATTTAAACAGACTGGCAAGTTGGGATCTGTAACATGAGAATCTGTCTATCTTAGGCAATACATTATATTTAATAGCCTCTTGACGAATGAGAGGGCGTATATCAACACCTGCGTGTGTTTACAGATGGGAATTTGCTAAACGAATGAACTTTTACAATACAGTTCATATGATCCGATAGTTCACACTGTACATTTAGCAGAAGCAGAGCAAATATGCAAAATGTTAGGGAGTAGATAAGGTATTAATTTTACGGTCTTGTCTTGTGAACTAACATGAACCACATAGATTTTGGTATAAACTACAAATACTTACAAATATGAGATGTAATTCAATGCTTTACTTAAACTTACTATTCATCACTAAAAGCGTTTTGTTTTAGCAGAACCAAGAGACTGAAGACTTAATCAGACTGGACTCTACATCAGATATCGACGATTTCGATCCTCTCGTATCTAAATCCACACCAACGCTTTCCGGTAATAAAAACAAACTTCCACTAACGATATCAAATCCTCTGTATACCTATGAAAACAGCAGTATTAAACAAAACGGTGGCGTTTCGAACTCTAGTTTCCAACAACAGCAACAAGTGCCCAGAGAGACGCAGAATGACCAAGATTTACTGCAGGAGTACGGCTTAAACTTTAATTTCTCCAACGTACAGAATCAGAACAATTTCGATCCATTTGGTAACAGTAGTAAAGTCAATGTGAAGAGCCAGTGGACAAAGTTTGATTGAAAGTGATATTGTGAACGAGCCATTGATTTAAAACATATTTTAATCAAATTTAAATCTATTTTTGGCTTGGCTTATTTTCATTCTCGCTGGTATATTTAGTTCAGCAACTTATTTGCAAAATAGTGACAAGATATCTAGAAGTATACAAGTTTGCCTAAAGTTTGTTTAAAAATACGTTGCGGGAAAATGTAAGTTTAGGAAACAAATAGTTATTGCCAGATAATGAAATAGTTTATTATAATTTGTTTCAAACAATATGTTCTAACTTCCATTTATTCACCAAATTAGAGAAGAAAGTGCACAGGCTTCAGAAATTGGCGTAAAAGGTAAAGAAATATAGAGATAAGGCCCGTAATTAATTTACATGTACATGTACATGTTTTTATTTAGGGAAATACCCATGTTTATATAAATTATTGTCTTCCAAGAGAAGCATACCTGTCTTAACACTTTATTGAACATCCTGCGAGATCTTAATTTCCATTTTGATATCAACCTTTGTACTATGTTGTTATCGTTGGTGGTCTAAAAAATTTGTGGCCTAATAGAGAAAACGACAATTTATGCTTTCAAAGAACTTTTGTTTCTGAACATAATCTTCTCTTGTAGCAATACATATTATCCAATGCCGTTATTCTTTTCCTATGGTGTTCCCCTTGCAGCGGTACAAAATATTCATCTACAGTCGCGGTAACTAACGATTGGACGAAAATCACTTATCAAAAATGAAGGTTTCAGTTTTGACAATAAATGGAAGTCCGATGGAGCCAAATCTGGAAAATAGGGAGGATATTCCAAGAAGTCGGATATATCTTACGCTTTCTTAATTAGCGGAGTATATGTCCGACCGTTGCCGCAGTGCATTTAATAAATTTTGCCGCAGTTGTAGGTATAACGCCAGGAAAAGCTAGTTCCAAACCACCACTACCTGTAAGACTGATGAAAGCCTACACTCCTTTATTGTAAAATGTAGTCAAAAACATTTTTGTTATGCGAGTAATTTGCAGAAGCCTATCGTTATTTAAAAATTTTTTCTTAACCGTTTCACGGACAGGTCGTTCATTTTATCCCTTAATATGAACAGTACTACAATATATAGGTATAAATATAGCTACCTCTGAAGAAGACAGTCATATGTCAAAGTGTGACAATTTTTAGAAATAGCCATTTAAAAGATCAATAAATTTTAAAAGTATAAAACCTTACTCATAACTTGGAACAGGCTAATATTTTGGCTTTGATGTGTATAGCCTGTAAAAAGCTATACTTAGTCACATACTTCCTTAATCCTATTTTAGGCCATAAAATTCTAATGTTGTGTTCTTTAAAACAAATGTTTTGGGTGTTTGGAGATAATTCAATTATTTATTAAAAATTTTTACGTGTTTTTTACAAATGGATATTTGTCATAAGAACAAAGACGCTATAGTGTAAAAAATAAAAACATACTGATATTTTGCAGTATATTGTAGTTAAAATAAGTCAAAATAATTTGTAGATAGTTGGGTTCAAAAATTCAAAAAGTTTTCTAAACTGACATAACCCAAAGGAATACTACAACTCATTTAAAACATAACCTTAACTTCTTAACAAAAATGACACAACTTAAAATAATGCATTATTCTTCACAGTATTGTGTTTGAGAAAGGATGACATATCTCAAAATATGACGATATTATGCAAAATGTTGAAAAAACTTTTCGATTAAAAATAACGACACTTCTACCATCTGATAGCCATTTTCATAAACTAACTTTTTTTTGTTGTAAACAATTCATCTCAGGAAATAAAACCCTTTGAAAATTAGTATGAAAGCACTCAAACCAGAATTGGTCCTACACAAGTACATCAAATAATAATACATCACTCTATAAATATTACAAACACAGGAAGTTTAATAATGAACGACACTATAATCTACTGTAACTACTTTTAATCGTCTATCACGTCTTTCATTACTCTGTAGTTTGTAGTAACGAAATAAACAGCACCGGCTACACAGCGACAAAAACTATTCTGTCAGATGTTCATGAAATTGTTAAGAAAAAAATAAAACTATAACAGGACAAACAATAAAGTTGGGTAGGTTGTGGAAGTGAATAATATTGTATATACCATAAAATATATAACTGGTGACATATCAGTCTTTTTTACCACAAATACTGCAGATTTTCAAGAGCAAAATAAAAACGATATGAAATAAGCTAAGTTAAACTTAGATTTATATTTAAAATTATAATTGTAAGTGTTATTTATATACAAGATCAATTTTATTTATTTTTAATTTTGAATTCTTTTTATCTTTATTGTTATATTTTTGATTTTTTTAATATATATTGAAAAAAAAAGAACTAAGAGAAAAATGTGTATACGAACGAAACTGAGACAATTTATGCTGTATAGTCGTCGATATTAAGCAGAAAAGCGTTGTGTATTTCATTTATTATAAACTGACCATGAGATCATAACTAAAAATATTGTTGATGTATAGGTTCCGTCAAGATATAAGAAAATTTTGCCTGACGCTGGTGAGATGACCCTGCCGATTTTGTCAACCGTAGTATTATAACAACAAACAACAAACCCTCCAGAATAATATTAATAACATTAAAAGATTAAAAGAGTGGTAGCAAAATTCAGAATTAAAAAAGTTAACATTAAAGGAAGGAAAATAAAATTAAGTTTAGATGGAAACAATAAATACAAATTATAAAACTATATGTCACTATTGCTGTCATCTTTACTAGAATCGTCATCATCGAATGTTTAATAAACGAATAATTATTCCTTTAATATGTAAGGTTAATATTCTGTAGTGATCTTTCATTTTTATAACATGTGAAACACAATTTTGCTACAGTGTTGGGGAAATCTTTTTGATTTCTTCTACAACAGGTGACACCGATTGGCTACTAAATTTGGGACAGCAGTTGTTTCGCCGTAAACTTCCCTTAAGTTGGCTTTAGATTACTTCAATAGGGTTGAAAACACAGTAATAGGGAGGTTATCGCAATGTAATATGATCATCACGTTTGGCTAATTCGTCTATAACAAACTGTTTCTTAAACACTTTTGTGTGAATAACTCCAACATTTCTTTTTTTGTATGTGTTTCTTCAAAGTACAAATCATTTTCATACAAAAACCCGATATTTGTTTTTTCGTCGATCGTCCACCGGGGATTTTTCAAATTTGTTCACTGTGATACGTCGCGTTATCTATTACAATGTCACTTTTTGGAGGCAAATTAGCAAGACTTTCTTTTCAAACCAATCCTTAAACAAGCTACTCGTCATATTTTCATTGTAATCCAGCTTTGAATCTATAATGTTCTTACCGATAGTAAAAAACTTTCTCCGTTGGATTTGCTAATGATTTTTTAATTTTGTTATATTTAAAGATAGAAAGCTTCATTATCGGAAGTCCATTTTGTTTAAAGTGAACACGATATAAAACAGATAATAATCAAACTCCATAAAATTCACGTAATGAGTGCATTGAATATGATAAATGTTTGTTATCGTTTATAATTGATTCTAATTTTAACTAATTCGTCTACAGCAAATTTTTTTTAATACGAAGCATTGTGTAGATAATTTCATTTTAATAATTTATTTGCACTGGCAGTTAACTGAGTCATAGTTCTGTAAATAATACAAAGTCCGGTTTTAGTAAACTATTTCAAAACGTACAAACCGGTAAGTTTAGTATTGCCACCCGTCTCAAAGATAATTGAGGGATTAGTAACAGCAACATGTATAAATTTCTTATATGTTCACGGAAACTATACTTCTATTGCTCGTTAATACGTGTGCAATCCAAATGTGAACGCTCTTTGCCTATCATGCGTTGTTTTACTAAAATTCATCCCTGTAAGCATGACTTTGGCCAAAGCCAGTGGTCTTATAAAGGAGGGGGGTGTTGTATTAAGTACAAAATTATATCGCTTTTATTAGTGTTATTAATATTTTATTGCAGTCATTCGCAGACACAACACTTTCTAATCTTGTCATGGATAAAATTAAATGTCGCATTTCGTAAAAATTCACGAATTCGTTTGGTAGGTTTAAGTCTCATCGAAATATCTTTCTGACTGAGTATGAAGCCCCATCAATTTTCACTCGAGTGTCGAGTCAGGACATTTTGCTGTAAACAGAGAAACATTCATGTTATTGTTGTTGACCCACCCTCTTATGGTTGGAGCCGTGTGAACTGGATAATTATTCTGTAATAAAATCGATTATGAAGTGAAAACATTTACCAAACCTACATGGTATAAGGTAAACTTATCTTACTGATAACTGATAGTGATACTGATAGTCTGTCTAAATATTAAAACTACACATTACATGGCATTTGGTCAAAATTATTGTTTCTATGCAGAAGACAGTAAAGTGTTGGTAGATTTAGCAATATTAGTTTTTACAATAATATACACTATATTGGATTCCATAGACAAATCGATAAATTAAGGTAAGGTAATTTACTTAAATACTGTTTCTTTGATTTGTTACTTGTCATTTGTCACTTATCTACGTAGATGCTTTGACATTAAAAGTTTTCTTATTTATTTTTTAACGTAGTTTTTTTTTCCAATACACATATATAAGCTCAACTATAACTCAAGCTCATCAAAATAGTATGAACTTTCAGCTATGGTCCCCATTGTTCGGGCGTCCTCCGAACTATTTTTAAGTTTGGGAACAAGGAAATACAGCAGACTAATTCTGGTGAATACTGTAGGTCAATTCCTAATCAAATTGGTGTTGAAACAGTCAAATAAAGCTGCATAGTACACACAGGTTAGTGCTGTATCCCTTTTCAGGTAACTAATGTGAATAATGCCTTTAGCATCTCACAAACCAGCCATTCACAATCCAGCCGATGGAGTGGATTAACCTCCTTCGATTGGTCTCCTGTTTATCTCCATTACGTTTGCTGTTTCTTTGCCTCCGGTGTATAGAAAAAGACTCATATTTTATCAATAATCAGGTGCGGACTGCGGTTTATCGTTATTAAAACAAGGGTACTCGTTTTGGTTGACAGCGAGCACATTCGTTCTTGTTTCAGCGTTGTTATCGATGTCCACAATGATGATTGAAGTCAGTTTATAATAAGTGAATTATAATTGCCAGAAAATAAAATACTCCTAATGATATTATGGGCCGCGTAATGATTATTTCCTAACTGTATAAATGATATCATTAGAATATGAATATAGTATTTGCATACACACTTTTTCTGCCGGTC